TATAGATTCCAGGTTCTAACCCTGACCTTCTGAATCAGCAGGCCTGGGGGTGTGTAGGATGCTGTGTTTTCTCTTCCTTAGGACCTGTCTGGTATATGTATTGACTAGTAAGCCATACATCATATTCTGACATTTTTGTGCTTGCCTCAGAGCATAGCAACTCCAGAGGGAAACACAGGGTAGAACGGATATAATTACAGCATTATGTCAATGCAAAATGATCTGTCCAGTGCAGCTGTGGGCAAGGAGGAGCCAAGCAGGGGCAGCTGAGTGGGTTGAGAACAGAAGGAATGGAGAAGGGAAGCTGAGTGGTGGGCCGTGGTACTTAGAAAATGAGAACCAGATAAATATATCCAGTTCTAGATCATTGTAGAGCTTGCATCTAGATCCATTGTAGAACTTCAATCACAGTTTTATGTGGTCTTGTTTCTCCATCAGCATTCATCAATGATGAAAACAGTGACTGCTCATATCAATTCAGAGAAGGATGTGCTGGGCAGGGACCAGTCCTAAGTGGGTGTCAGATTATCCAGCAGAGAAGCCCATGTGGGGAGAGACCCTAGAGTTCTAAGAAGCCAAGAAAACTCAAGTCAATGACAGCTAGCTGTGGCCTTTGGCTCCTTTTCCATGGTAAATACATGGCAACATCAAGTACATGAGTTTTTAGATAACAACATGTAATTTCTGGAATCCTATTTCCAGAATCCAAATTGCTGTTCTAACACTTAGCTTAGTTCTTGGCACTTAAAAATGCTCATCAGATGCTGACCACTGTTACCTGTTCAGCCGATGACAGATACAAGCTAAAGAAGTTGTCTTTCTCTCTCTCAACCCCTACCTCACCAAATTGACTTAACTTCAGCCTCCAAAAGCTCATTTGGGGTTCGGATAACAATGCAAGAGGTCTGGGGTTCTGATTTCATATGTTCAAGTCATGTTTGCTGCATATGCACTCTGGGCCAGGAGGAGAGTGTGGAGCACAGCCCAGTCCTAGGCAGCTGGGCTTGCAGGACCTCACCATGTTCTCTGTCTGGTCCTCTTCTGAGCCCCTGTTTTCTCCAATAGGGTTCCAGCTTTCAGGAGGCAGAGGCAGGTCTATCTCTGAGTTTGAGGCCAGCATGGTCTACATATCAAGTTCCAGGACAACCAGGACTGTTTCAACTCTCCCACACACACACAAATATTAAAAAACAAACAAACAAACAAATAAAACAAAAACTCACTTAGCAGATACCCAAGGAACATGTTCACTCCTTGATGAGTATTAGCAGGGTCTCCCTTATTTTCAGTGTCCTGGAATGACTGGCTGTGACCAAGCTATGTTTAGTGATGTTGCTTTTATCTCATCTGGCAATTCTCACACTAGTAAGCACAGTGCTTTGTGCCAGGTCCTGGCCCTCCTGAGGTGTGGGATTAAAGGCTGAACCACCACCTCCTGTCTTAATCAGTGCTCTTGGGATGTTACAATGTAAAGTCAGATTAGGAACATGTCTATCCACTCATCAGGGTCTTCCTTGACCAGATTCTCTTTCCATTCCATTCTTTCTTGTTACCTTTAGGCACCATGCTGATCCTTCCTGCTTTGTTCCTTCAGGTTTGCTTTTTTTTTTCACTAACAATTCACACATGCTTATAACAGGCCAGACTCTAGGGCTGGCCTTTGATCTCCACCTTTTAAACGCCATTTTAGGAAGTAACCGATTCCTGTTCCACAGAGGAAAACCCTGTCTTCCCCACCCTCTGCCTGGCTAGAGGGTGTAGCTAGATATGTGGTCACTGAATCAGGGCCATCCTGTGTACCCTTCTGGGAATAGCCAAGAGTCTAGGGTAAAGTCTATGCCAAGAGTTCACATGTGTCTTCTTAGCTTAGAAAGTAGCAAGTACTTAAGACATGTGTATTGGCAAGGAGCTGAATGAGTGGATGGAAGAAAACGGAATACTGGAAGTTAGGGTACCTTTTGCTCATCTACCTTCAACATTTATTCATATTCCTCTCTCACTCTCCACACTTCCTTCCTCCAGGTCCTCTGACAATTCTCTTTATGCCCAAACCCTGCCCTTCTAGCCCACCTTAGGATGATGACCCCAGACTTCTCTGGCTCAACTCATAATTATGCTAGCTGCTTCCAAAGGATCAGTAGTAAGTGACCTCTTGATGTCCCTAAGGGCTACCATATCCCTGGCTATGAGGGAGAGATTAGACTAGGACTATCCCTACTTCTCTATTCCTAGAAGTCTGGGTTCCTCTCCCCTTTCTCCTCTGCTCACCCCTCCCTATTCTTCTAAAAGAAGCAGGCAGAATGAAGGCTACTTTGAATTGTGGAGGTTTTAGTGAAATGAGGGGGAATGGTCTTTGCAGCCCAGAATCCTGCTCAGAGAAAACAGGCAGTCTCTTGAGGAGGTAACTTATTAATCACTCTGTAATTCTAGGGGTCTCCTGTTTCTCTATCCACGAGAAACAGGAATTGAAGTTCTGTAACAAAGAAGCTCTTTAAAAGCAGATTGCTTGTCTTGACCATCTTCATATCCTCCCACCCCAGACTTAGTGGAGTGTCTGCTAAATATTTGACCTCCAGAAAATACTGCTCAAAGATTGGATAAAAAAGCTACCACATAGAGGTCACTCGTGAAATGTCAGATATCATACTATCTTATTCAGCTCTTTCAGATTTACTTTTAATTTTTACTCACGTATGTGTGTTTGTGTGTGTGTATGTGTATGGGTGCCCAAGGAGGTCAGAAAAGAATGTTGAATTCTTGGAAGCAGGAGCTACAGGCAGTTGTGAGCCACTAGAGAATGTGGGTAATGAGAACTGAACTCAGGTCCTCTTAAAGGACTGCAAGCCCTTAATCTCAGAGCCATCTCTCCAGCCCCTTCAATTAATTATTTTTAAAGAATTTATTTTTAACAACACTTTACAAAAGAAGAATTAACACAGAAAATCCGGCAACTTCTGGAAAGTCATGTGGCCACCAAAGTGACAAAGTAGGGTCTTGAACTGGCGTCTTCCCTTTGCCACAATGCTGCTCAAGAAACGAAGCCCAGACTAAGAGACTGTTACACTGATTCTGTCAACATGCCAGCCTCAGCCTTATAGTGTGTGTATACAAACAGACTCCTTCTCTACTCCCAGAAGTGGGGTTAGCAACTGAAGTGTTCTAATCACGAATCTGCACTCCAGAGCTTGGTTACAGAAGCACTTCAAAGGCCATCAAAATCTATATCCAAGGCCTTAATGTGCTTGAGAGATACTAGAAATAATCTTTCCTTGGTGAAATAAGTGGTTTACACAACACAGAACCAGCCAGGAAATTATGTGGGCCCTGTTGCCCTTGAATGAATCAGAGCAGGCCAACTGTCTGCCTGCCTTGAAGTAGGGTAGGTAACTATTTTGTGCTTGCTTGCTGACACATTAACATTTAGCTAATTTGGTCTCAGCCATTTTTAATATCTCAACTGTAGGAATGTATAAGAGGACAAGAGGCCTTTGCTCAGAGGTTCCATTGCTGCTAATACCAGAACTGTGCCACTGCCAAGGAGCCAAATTGGTTCAGGCTGGATTTCATCCCCACCTTCCAAGAGTGTCCTGTGGGATCGTTGAAGCCAAGGTGACAGAAAATGATAATGTCAGGAGTGGAAAGCAAGCAGGATGTGGTGGTACATATTTTTTTTTTTTTTTTTTTTTTTTTAGTCCCAGGATTCTGGAAGCAGAAGCTGGCAGAACTCCATGAATTCAAGGGCAGGCTGGTTTACAGAGTGAGTTCCAGACCAGCCAAGGCTACAAAGTGTGATCCTGTCTCAAAAGAGAGAGGAGAAGTGAAAAGAAGAGCTGCTTTATTAGTGATGAAAGTAGGTTATAAATACATATGCATGAATATAGATAAATGCATATGAATAAATGAATATGCGTGTATGTGTATGGATGTATACACACATACAGTATATACTTAATGACAATAGTTGTGTTTAGTAGGGGTGATCTGCCACACTAAGGACCCGATGGGAGAAAGACCTAGTTTCCATTGTTAGCCCTCTGTATTTGAAAGTCACATTTTGCTCTTGATTGCTTATTCAGACTGAATGGTGGATCTCCCTTTCACAAAACCCAGCGGTCTTGCCTATAGGCCACTTGTGCCACCTACTCAGTTTAACTGCTTTCCTTAGTGCCTGAGCTTTCAAAATCGTGCATGAGAATGCCTGAGGTTTGCCCTAGGATCCACTCCCACTCCCAGATTCAGATTTAAATCTGGGGTGGGGCCAGGGACTTTTCTTTGTGGGGGTTTGGAGTGAATGTCCCAGCCCTACTTGGAGTTTTGTTTCTGTTCGGTCTATGGAACTGAGAAAGCCAGCTCTGTGTCTTTTCTTTTTTTGGTGCAGGGGATGGAACCTAGAATCTCTTTCATGAGGCAGGCCCAGCCAAAAGAAGTAGTATCCCAAAGCAAGCGATCCTTTTACTAGGATTCTTCACTTGCATCTTCCTCAGCCCGATCGCCTAACCAAACATCAAATGTCCCATTCGCTCTGGATGTGCGATTATTATGGTGTGAGTTAGGTATTGCGACAAAGGCCCCTTGCCTTTCTGACTCCCTGGCCGTCGTCGCCTTTAAAATAAGAAATACATAACACAAGCAAACAAGTTCTGTGAGCTGTAGTGGCACGCTCCCCCTTGGCTACAAACTACAAATCAGCTGTACTGCTCCCAATAACCAGGCGGTACTTTCTAACAGGTGGCTAGACACTCTCCGGGACATCCTCCCGGGGAGGGGTCCGGTCTTGGGAGCATCCCGCGGAGGTCCCAGCTGTCTGGGGGTCGCGGCGCGCAGCCCTCCCGGCGGCCCGGGCCGCGCCCCGCGGTGGGAGGCTGCGGCTGCTGAGGTCATTTCCTGTGCCTGGCCGCGAGCTGCCCGCCGAGCGCGGTGCGGACACAGCGGGCGCGGCGCTGCAGCCGGCGCCGGGGCGGGCTTTGTGCGGAGCTCCGGGGACCTTCCAGGCTCCGACCTCCGCCCGCCACGCCCACCGCGACCCCTGCTGCGGGGGCGCGGAGACCCGGCGGCCTCTCGGGACGGGGCTGGAGCCGCTGCAGGGCAGAGGCGCGCGTGGCGGCCGGGGGCGCGGCGGGACTCCCGGCGGCTCACTCAGGTGAGCGGCCCCGGGGGCCGGGCCGGGCCGGGGCGGGCCGGGAGGGCCGGGGGTGTGCCGCCGGGAGAGGGCGTTCGGCGGCACGGACTCGGCTGAGTCCTCGCGGCGGGGAGGGCGACTCCGGAGCAGGTGCCTCCCTACCTGGGAGCCGCCGGTCAGGCGCAGGCAACCGGGAGCTCCTGGACACCCGCACTGGGGGGCGGTGACGAGCCTGCCCGCGCGCCGGAGGTCCTGCCATTTGGCACCGGCTTGATCCAGTTGCTCCTGGGAAGGGCCCCCGAGACGTACGTGCAGGCTTCCTTCCACCTCGGTGCTCGCCGCTCTCAACCCTTCCGCTCCCCTCAGCACCTCGTCATAGGTTGTTTCTGATGTGATTTCTAGATGTCTCTCCTAGGAGTCTTAGGCGTCAGGCTGGACTCCTACTGACATTTTGGCCAAGCCAGGAAAAGAGCCCAGATTGGGCGCTAAGTGACATCAGGGGCTTTGTGTCCTAGCAGCCTTAGGAATACATCTCCCACGGAGGGTGGCAGAGGCAGCGGAGACCGTCCTGTGGAAATAGAATGTTCTCCCTGTTGCTCCTTCAGCGTACTTCCTCCCTGCCAGTGTTTTGCCTCCATCAGCTTCGACTGTGAATCCACCTCATAAAAGTTACTGACACTGATAAAAGTCTGGGTTCCAGGGGAACGCTCGAAAGATCGTTATTTGAACATGAATACCCCCCATCCCGGCAATGGAATAGCTATCCTCAGCACCAGACTTTCTAGACTATCTTCTGTGCCCGACACTGTGGGGTGCAATATTCATCACTCAATTCATCACCTGTTCACCTTCCATTGTAGAGGAAATTAGGACTCAGAAAAATTGTATCTTGCCCAAGGTTATAATGAAAGACTGTAAAGGTCACGTAGAGACGAGACTCAGACCTAAGCCTTCTGGATTCCAAATGTGATATTTTTGCCCTCCCCTAGCTGCCTAAGGGAACTGCTCAGAGCTGTGATACTGTTCACTCTTTGGTCCCAAACTTGGGGAAATTAACAATTACCCTAAAATAATGTGCTGAAAAAGTCACCAGCAATAGGAGAGAAGTGCGTTCCTCTCATTCCACTCTTCACAGTGTGTGTGTGTTTTCTTTTTTCTTTCTTTATGTCTGTTCATCTTTCTCCTTTCCCCTCCCCTCTTTCCAGATGCTCATACCAGCCCCCCTGCCTCAACCCTTCTAGTGCTGACATTATAGCCACTCGTCCCTCTTTATCATTCTCTTTCTTTCTAATCTGTACCCCTCAGAGAGTGGGGAGGCTTATGCATGTAGGCATTGAGGGATATTAAGCTGTGCAGGGATCCTCTCCCTCCCTGCATGCTGCTGCTGAGCCTCCTGATGGGCCAATAAGCTGTCTAACCTTGCCTTGCTCTCTACCAATAGCTGGTTTTAAACTGAAATTGTATTGCAGCCTGGCATGGTGGCCCATCCCTATGATCTCAGTACATGGAAAGATAAGGAAGGGGGATCACTAATTCAAAGCAAGTCTACTATGTAGCAAGTTCCAGGCCAGCCTAGGCTGCACAATAAGACCCTGAGAGAAAACCAAAAACTGAAGTTGGTTTGGAGAATAGGCACTTAACTGTTGGCTGAAGTATGAATTAGGAGAGCCCCAGGGGATAGCACTTCACGATGTACATTACTTAATCCTATGATCCTGTTTCTAGGACTTGCCTTCAGATCTATGCTGATACATATAAAGTGAGGCGTATTCATTGAATAGTCATTGTAGTAGTGTTTATTTTAGCAAAAGGTTGGAAACAACTCAAATGCCCATCAACAAGGGATTCTTAAATAAGATCATGGAATGGCCTCACGATGGAATCTATTAAGGCCCTTGAAAGCCTGGGGGTTAGAGAACACAGTAAGGATGTGTGCCGAGAGGAAGAGCTTCAGGTTCTTCCGGTAAGTACAGTGAAGACAGTCTACAGGATGGTACAACAGTTGAGAGGGCTTGCTGCTCTCACAAAGGATTTGAGTTTGGTCCCCAGCATCTACTTCCATGGTAACTCCAACTCCATTCCATCTGACCCCTGTTCTGGCCCCTGTGAACACCAACACACACATGTGAAAACACACACACTATATGTATACATGCTATGGTGTGTGTGTAGCTTATATGTGAATGCCTGTACTCTTGTTAGTTCTAAAGAAAAAAATACTGCTGAAAGTACAAGGGTGGGAAGGAACCTTACTATGCACCTTATATTCTCCTTTTTAACGCTGAAAAACAAAAAGACAGTGTAATTGTTAAAAATTACCATTTGGGGATGGCAGTGAGCATATTCATGAACCATATGCTCAGGAACTGCTGGTTTGCCTTTTGTTTAGTGGCAGCAACATCAGCTGTAAGTATCGATGCTTATATACTCAACAGGGGTTGGATTTAGGTAAATACTCTTTTAAATTTTCAAGGAAATTCTATGGAGTGTCTTCCCCCTCCCTCCCTCCCTTCTTTTCCATTGTGTCAGGTTTAGAACCCAGGCCCTCACACATAGTTACACACACCCCTCCCAACCCCCCACCACAGCCCCACTGTGTTAGTCCCAGCTATCCTAGAATTAGTCTCCTCCTGCCTCTAGCTCTCAAGTACTGGGATTACAGGACACCACACCCAGTTGAAATTACCTTTGTTTGAGACAAAGTCTCTCCATAGCATAAACTGTCCTGGAATTTGAGGCTGTTTCTCTGCCTCAGCCTCCTGAGTGCTGGGATTACAGGTCTGAATTATAGCTTGAAATAGCTGTTTTGACAGAAAGATAGTTAGATGTAGGCAGCTTCATAGGTCTCAACTGCTATCAGTTCTCTCATTTTCAAATATCACCATCAATTTCAAAGTGGGACAGAGAACCAGAGAAGTTAAGCAGATGGGTTACTAGGTGTCTGAGCCAGTATTCAGAGCCAGGAGGTTTGGCCTCAGCTTGGAATCTTCAGTGCTATGCTGTTTTTCCTTTTTGATACTTAGGTTCTCAGGGCTAAGGCAACCCCCCCCCTTCCTTTACCTCCTCCAACACTGTCTGAAGCCTGATGCCATTACTCAGTAGAGATGGAGTGTTTGCTGCTGTTTTGCTCAGAGGACAGTGCTGAGACCAGAGGAAACCCCATGTCTGCTCACCATCTCCTCCCAGGTGCATGAAAAGGAGGCAGGGAGGTCTTCCTTTCCCACAATTGGCCTTTAAAAGATCAGCCCTGTATTAGGTGATAGTCCATCCTTAGAAATGGAAGTCACTAGGGTCCTCACATTCCAGAAGTAAGAGGCTATGTCACCCTTTTCTTCTTCTTTTCCTTTTTGGCTTTTTTAAAACTAATGGTCCCTGTGCCTCAGCCTCCAGAGTGTGGGGATTACACATGCACAGCACTGTGCCTGGCTGTCTGGTAATGTTATTGGAAGCATTACTTTCCTGCGTCTGCAGTGACCAGACTTGGAGGCTTGCAAAATAGCAGATCTTTTAACAGCTTTACAGCTTCAGTATTACACATAGGGATTACCAAAAATTAGCTGAAGTAAGTTAAATCTCAGCATTTTGTGTACTTCTGGCTAAATTCTCAAGTTTGCCCCAGAGATCCCAGGGCAAGTTTGTTTTCTCTGATACAGACTGAATCCCAAATCACCAAAATGTTCTTAGTGTCTTTCCCCCACAACCTCTTCTACCTCCAGCCCTTGCCTCCAGCATGGCCCTGGGGTCTCTGGCTGGGATTGAGGAGCTTCAGAACTGCAGGTAGGGCTCTGGCAGTCATCTGGCCCACTTGTCATGGGGTGATGAAGTTGCTGAGTGAGGCACAGGAGTATTTATTGTGCTAGAGTCCTTACGTCATTTGTTTCTGTTTATCCTTGAACATCTTTTTGGGTGGTACAAGTGCAAGGAAACTTAGCAGGTGAAGTTAAGTTTATTAGTACCTTCCCTTAACATCTCTTGTTTTATAGCTATTGGTCTTAACCACCTGCTTTAGCCTGAAGAGCCCCTCCCCCCCACCCCCTGGGGCCTTTGACTTGGCAATAGATACCTTACTCTAGATCTGATTCCAAACCCTTAAATCCCCTCACATGCCCAGGCAAGCCTAGCACCAGCTCAGCCTTCTGAGGACTTGTTAGCATCCCTAAGGCAGGGAAAAGGATTTACCAGATCACTTGATAGTTCAGAACTATGAAGTCATGAAGCTGCCCGAATGCAGAAAGCACTCCTGGAGTCTACGTGTAATCTCAGATATGAGAGCCAGGTGAACACTAGAAATAGAAACAGTTCCAAAATTCTAGGAAACTGATAATCTGGCATTTCTCGGTCCCCACAGAATCTCTGCAGCACTTGGTACAATCAAAAGGACTTAAGTAATTAAATCAAACTCAGGTCACCACATTTCCTGAGTCCTGCCCCCAACCCCTGGGTCTTCTTGGGTGCTTTAGTTCTTAGCCCAGAACAGAGAACAAGACTTCCCAAGTCCTAGTCTCAGATCTGCCACTTTTCCTGTTTATAGGCTGGAAAACAAAATTTCCCTAAAGGACAAGGAGATTCAAATGTGAAGCCTCCCAGCTTCTCCCAGCCCTCCTAGGCTCTGTTTGTCTTCACAGCAGAGATCTTAGCTCAGATAAGGCCATGTTTTGTTTTTGTCTTTTGTCTTCCTGCTTGTTCCAGTTGGTTCCAGTCTTTTGAAGTGGGAATGGCTAGGAGGTCACAATGTCCCTATTGTCTAGGATGACACTTCTGGACTCAGGTCATGTGTCCAGTGTTCAGAGGCTCCCAGAGCCTAAAGAACCAGACACTAGACCTCTCAGTGGTGTGATTGTTCTGCCTTTCTCTCCAGGTCTCACATGGCCAGTGTCTGAGCTTGTGGAGGTTTGTGGTGGCAGGGTATAGTAGTCTCAGGTGCCTTGGAAAATCTGGGATCTAGGTTTACCTTAGTGCTAAGGCTTTTGAACGATACTTGAAAGTACTTTTCTTATTCTTAACAGTTTACCTTACTCTTTGTAGAATCAGGAAAAGAATGCCCGCCACCCCTAGGCTAGCAAGTGTACTGCTGGTGACCTGTATCCTCCATTTTGGGGGTGATGGTGAATGAGCCCCAGGCTATGGGACTGTCTGTAGAAGTTACTCAAACTGTTCCAGGTGACCTTCTGTGTGGGGACAGTAGTGCCTTCCTACCACTTTTAGATTGACCTGAGGGTTAAAGAGACTGCATGTTCCTGCCATACAATAAGGACTCAAGAAGTGACAGCTGTTTGTAATGCCTAATGGGAGAGGCCTAGGGCAGGCAGAGGTAGGCAGATCTCTGTGAGTTCCAGGTCAGCCAGAGCTACACAGAGAAACTGCATGTCAGAAACAAAACAAAACAATAAACAAACAAAACATAATGGGAGAAACCAACTAATCAAAGTTAAGTGTGAAGGGGAAAGCAATTGGTGATTAGTATTGCTCCCAGGTGGTCTTACTGTCTGGCGAGAGATCGGAAAGTGACTGGGTTTTTAGAGGCCACATGGCTCCTGAGGATCAGAGAAGAGGATTCAAAACATAACACATTTGGGTCTGGAGAGATGGCTCACCGGCTGTTCTTCCAGAGGTCCTGAGTTTAATTCCTAGCAACCACATGGTGGCTTACAACCATCTGTAATGAGATTTGGGTCCCTTTTTTGGCCTTCAGGCAGAACACTGTATACATAATAAGTAAATCTTCAAAAAAATGTTTTATTATAGAAATTTCAAAGCCTAAGAATTAGGCTGACTTCATGGACCGACCACCCAGCTTCCCAAACCATCCAGTAGTTAGGGCTAGGGTATATCAGAGAGGTAGGGAGGACACTTAGCACACATGCGTCCCTAGGTTAAAATTTACAGCAACAAACACACACACATACATACACATACTTGTTACTTTTTTAAAAGTAATTTAAAAATATTTTGAGATTATAACTATATCATTTCTCTCTTGCCTTTATCCCTTCTAAACTCCCCCATGTATCCTGCCATAGGTGTGTGTGTGTGTGTGTGTGTGTGTGTGTGTGTGTGTGTGATGCTTGTTCAGGTCACACTTGTCACTATTGTTTTAACTTTTGTGGGGGGGGTTGCCTGCATGGGTGTTCACTATCCTGCTCACCCTGTGCCTCTGTCCCCAAGCTCAGTTGTGAGCAGAGGCCAGAAGGAGTTGGATCTCCTGGAACTGGAGTTCCATAGGGAATTAAGTCAGGATCCTCTGGAAGAGCAGCCAGTGTTCTTAACTGCTGAGCCGTCTCTCCAGCCCCACATTGGCAGTTTTGACAAGTCTTACTTTGACAAGTGTTTTTACCCCACTCTGTTGCCATTGGGTATTTTTATCAATTTCTCTGAAAATCCCATGTAACACTTAACAGATGATGTTAAAGAATACTATCAACCTGGAACTATTAACAGTCATTTCTTAAAATGATTTGGTAGTCAGGTGGCCGTATATCACAGTTTGGGAGATTACAAGTCCTGATGCCGATGGAGCCTTCCAACTTTCCTCTCTTGGTGGCCCTGTGCCTCTGTCCCCAAGCTCAGGCACACTCATTCCTGCTTCTTTTCTCATCCTTGACCCAGTTTTTCTTGTCTGAACTACAGGTAGGAGGCATCGGGGTAAATTCCCCTGCTGGCTGGGTTATGAAAGGTGGCTTTCACCAGAGCCTGGAGCAAACATGTAGAAGTCTTCTGGCTTGCGTCTTATGACTTGAAGGGGATGAGAGAATGAGTGTTTGTTTCCAGTCAGAATGAACTGATGACAGCTGGCAAGAACCCAGCTAAACAGAAACGTGCCAGTATTTCCAGTCCACTGTCAGCCCACCTAACATCCGCAGAGACAGAGAATCAGGACTAAGGTGAGAACCAGAGCTCTGCCTCCACGTAGCCGTGTGTGACCTTGGACGAATCTGTATTTCCAATTTAAGGTTGACCTAAACACCAAGGCCCCCACCCCTACCCTCAACGCTTTTCCCTGCACCTGTTTATCTACATGTCAACTGTGCGTGTTCAGTGGAAACCTTGAAGGCAGGTGCTGGTGAGAAAGTGAGGAAAGAGGGTCACTGCTAACAGGAAGGTAAATATGCACTAATGCAAACAGGAAGGTAAATGTACACTAATGCAATAGAGAGATCACTGTGGAAGTTTCTCAAGAAATTAAAAACACGGAAGGAGTTCATGGACCTCCACCCCTAACTGAGGAGCTATGAACAGTTTTCTTTGAGGGTGTGGCCCCTGGTAGGTACATCATTCTCCTGTGCATGGCTTCATACCCACAAGTATATGAACACTATGAATCATAGTCAAGTGTTTTTTTGAAAATGTAATAAAAAATTAAAAATAGAACTTCCAAATGACCCAGCTATATTACTCCTGGGCACACTCCCAAAAGACTTCATATCCTACCACAGAGATACTTGCTCATCCATGTTTCTCGTTGTACTGTTCATAATACAAAGGGAACGGAACCAGCCTAAATGTGCAACAGATAATGAAAATGTGGCATATGCCAAATGGAGTTTTGTTCAGCTATAAATAAAAGTGTCATCATGAAATTTGTAGAAACATTGATAGATCTGGATATTATTATATTAAGCGAGGTGACCTAGACTCAGAAAGACTGTCTTGTACCTCACATGTGGATCTTAGCTTTCTGTGTGTGTGTGTGTGTGTAGCTTTTGAGCAAGCGTGGGTATAGGCTATTATTGTAGAGCACCATCCTCTAAGTTTAACTGCCATCATTTCATCACAACAGCTGTGACTGTTTGCAAGTGACCCCCCAGATAGGGCTTGTTGACTGTTGACATTCCCGAATAGAAGGAGGGGTTGGGGAGGGTCTTTGGGCCCTCCCCTGAGATTCCTGAAGCTCCCAGCTCACCTCCCAGCCAGTTGTATGTAATTATGCCCTCATTTCACATGGCCTTGTGGTGCTAGATGATATAGGCTGGAATGTTAACTGGAGTGAGGAGAAGCCATCTATGCAGCTATGGGGGAAGTTGTCATTCATGCTGGGGTGAGACTACTGCGTGGTCGCCCACATTCCTGTAAGTACCCTTTACTCCTGTTCTGTGGAGGCCTGATGAAGTCATTGGTCTCCCAAGTGTGTTGTTGGTGCCCTCCCTATAAGGAGGGAGTTGGTGTTTTTTACGTCTCCCCAGGGAAGGAGTTCCCGAAACTGTTGTGAAACTTTAGGGAACGAACAAGAGAGGGAAGAGAGGTGTTGAGGAAGGTGGGCGGGCAATAGAATGCTTGAGACGAGAAAGTGAAGAAGGTGCCAGTGGCTCCCAGTGGGGCAGTGGGCTGGGGAAGGAGAATCTGACAAAGACAAATTTTATTTGAAAATACCACAGTAGAACCTAATGCTTTGTGTGCTAATTAAGAGAATTTACATGCTTTGTATGCTAATTAAGAGGATTTAAAGCCTAAGGACCACTCACCAGGTTCCTAAGGTGTCCCAGAAGCAGCTCAGCGCCTGGCCCTGCAGCTGGGCACCCTGGGCCGAGAAGCTGGAACACGAACGATCTCGGGAGAGCTGGAACCACCTCTGTTCCACACCCTGATTTCTCTGCCCTTTGGTCATCTGTTCCTCCTTCCTCACGTTCCTCCTCCTCACTCTTACCTTTCCCTTTCTCAGTGTGCTCCCGGGAACATCTGGATTCCACCATGGCAGAAGTCAAGGTGGAGGTAGCCCCCGTAGACTGGCAGAAGCGTTGCCTTTCCCTGGAGACACAGCTTTTCCGCTTCCGCCTTCAGGCCAGCAAGATAAGGGAGCTGCTGGCCGACAAGGTGAGTCCCTGGAGAGCAGGAAGTTCCCTCACATCGGGGCTGGGGCCAGTAGCCATTGTCAGGGTCGGAGTTGAGAGGGGGAGTTGGGGAAAGTGAACTCCTACTGAGACTTTGCTGTGTTTTTAATTAAAAATGAAAACTTCTAAGGTAGCTTTTTTTTTAAGTCACTAAATTTTTCTCCTGGCTATGACACCTCAGGTTCCACACACTAAAGAACGACGCAGTCCAGCTGGGTATGCTGTAGTGCAGCTTTAACCCCAGCACTTGGGAGGCAGAGGCAAGCAAAGCTTTATGAGTTCAAGGCTACAATAGTGAGACCCTGTCAGAAACAATTAAAACATTTTAAAAAATGATGCAATCATCTTGGTCCTCTGTCACTTTGAGTCCCTCATGGCTCATATTTCTTTTACTATGTATTGCCACAGCTGTTAACATCAGTTTCATTCTCATTGTGGACTGGATGATTTTCTTAGAACAACAGAAATCTCCAACCTCCTGCCCATCTCCATAAGCAGATGAGCCTCAGCAAGTGCCTGATTTTCTGGGGACAGTAAATAAGCTTTGGAGCCCTGCCTGGCCCCTAGCTGCCTGGCTTTACAAACTGCCACCTCTCAGGCCTGGACATGATGTATACCTTAAGTTATTTTGAGACTGGAATCTGATGGCTTATATAAGCATGAGGACGCTAAGTAATGCCAGCAGGTGTTGTCTGTATAAGCTTAGGTAGGCTGGTCTGCAGAACTCATCTCTTGTCACATTGCTCTGGGAAGATACATTCAAATGGCTGACTCTCAGAGGTACAACCTGTTTAGAGAGTGGAAGCCTGCAGTAAAAACATTTGTGTAGAAATACGAGAGTTTAGTGACTCAACTAACTGTTCCTTGGCGGTTCTTAGCTAACCCTTAGTACAAAGGTAAAGTTCAGCTCGCCCTTTTAAGTAAGGTCCAGGCCTTGATTAGTATAGCTGGAAAGAATGGAACACATGACCTGCCCTTCTGATAGCCTGCATACTGAAGTTTGGGAAGGCCAGCGGCATTCCCACGGCCGAGGTGTGGCTTTGGGCTAGATTGGCTTTGGGCTCTTGAACCTTGGGTCTTTTGGCATTGCATAGGGTTCCTATGGGTGCCAGCCAGGTACTGCCAGTGGAATGGCAAGACTCCAGGCATCTGAGGGAGAGGGCAGCAGGTCAGATGGATGGTATGGTCAGAACCCCTTTGCCAGAATCTTCTGGGGGGGGGCTACTGGCTTAGAGTATCTGTTCTTGGGTCACTGTAGTCCTCTTATTCTAAGTCTCTGGGGTGCTGTTAGTAATCTGTGGTTAACAGGCTCCTAGAAGATGGTTTTGTCACTATGGAGTTTGAGGACCTTGCCTTAGGCCCTGGTCTTGGGGGAGAGGAAGAAAAGTTAAGGGGGACATGCTCAGCCAAGTGGGCTGAAAGGGGGATAGACACCAAACAGCCTCAGATAAAACAAAACAAAGGAAGGACGCGTGAATGAAGAAGGGAGCACATACTTCTAAGTGAGTAAAGTAAGGAAGAACAAAACAAGAGTGCTCAGCGTTAGCACCCGAGTGAGGTGGGGACAGTGGCCCCTTAGTCACATAAGTTCCAGGTTTGAATTTTTATATCTGTGGAGTCAGATGAGGTTTGGCTGCCTGGAGCTAAAACTGAGTCTCCTGTGTAATCTGGACTGGTTATAAATAGCAAGGTAGATGAAGGTAAGGAAATCACCCACCAGCACCACAGATGGCCACAGCTTCTCAGACTTAAGGCTCTGGGGAGAACAATAGTTTACTGTTAGACTTATATAGCTGTGTGATTTAAGAACCTGAGTTCTGGGTCAAGGGTGACATGGGAGAAATTCTAGGAACAGAATTGCAATCTCCTTGGAGGAGGAGCAAGACTTCAATCCAGGTCACTCAGGAGTTCCAGGAATCAAAATGAGCCTTAGTGAAGATGAATGTGTTACCTAAAATGACTAGTGCCCGGGGGTGGGGAGAATCTGTAGTTAGGAGTTCACACACACAAGAAGTAATTGGACTTCTAATGATAGACGCATGGACAAGAGACTGTAAATTCATTGAAAACACACTGATACAGAATAAAGAAATGGAATAACAGTGTCCAAGAGGATCATGTTCCCATTAAATTAGTATTCCAGTGGGTAGGTTAAACATCAGGTTGGTACCGTAAGCTACACCGCGTGTCTGTTACTAGAGATCAAACCCAGGGCCTTATGAATAGAAGGCAGGGGCTCTGCCTAGAAGATAGGAACAGGCAGAGACCACCAGAGAAAGCCACTAAGAAGACAGCACAGAGAAATAAAGACACAGCAAGATGTGAGAGCTAGGACGAGGAGGCTCTGTATGTTCCAAATCGCACACTATCACAGCCATGGAGGAGAGCATGAAGGAGAGGGATCATCTGAGAAGATAATGACAAAAGCATTCCCAACTTGACAAGAGACGTGAAGCCTCAGATTCAGAAAGCAGAAGGAATGAGGACAGGGTGAAACACTTAAACATCACTCTCTTCTGTTTTAGCTGCTTAATAGTGTGTCCTGCTATAAGAAAGAACCAACACAAGGGCTCAGGTCAGACAGGTGCTTGTGTCTGTCATGTGTAACTTCCCAGACAGAAGCAGTCCAACCCTGAGCTTAGAGATGGTTCACCCTGATGCCCATGGTTCCTCTCTTTCCTTCTAAGTGTATGATCCAGAGGGTGCATGTGTTCTTCGGCCCAGATTCCCACTGGCCATGTCTTAGACACGTGGTTACACACAGCATCAAAGAAAGCTGGGAGATGTCTTTATTCTCAATAGCCGTGTGCTTAGCTAAAAGTAGCCGGGCGTTTTATTTTCTAGAGGAGAGAACCCATGCCGAAACAACCAGCTGTTCCCCTCCCTCCTCATTTTGTGGTACCGGGGCTAGAACCCAGGACCTCATGCATGCTAGGCAAGCATTCTGCTGCCAAGCTACCTCCTCAGTTGTCTGCTGTCTTTGAGTCCAGAATAAATGAAAGTTATAATGAATAAAACTAGGTTATACATTAACTTTCAGATCACTACAGTGAGGAAATGAAATTAGGGAAAGTCTGTTGAGGACAGACTACAAATAGGAAAGTAAGTATAGAAGAGGGGAGTATGGTCCAGGTATGATAGTGCATGCCTGTAATCCCAGGAGGCAGAAGCAGAAAGATCAGGTCAAGGTTGGGCTACATGAGACCTTGTCTCAAAAAAAAAAAAAAAAAAACAAAAAAAAACAAAACCACCACAAGAGGAAAGGAACTACAGGAGGGACAAAATGCAGTGGTAGAAGTAAATCTAAATACATTAGTCACAGAGGACATGTAAGGAATACATGAAGTGGGAAGTGTTCTAGTTCAGTGCTTGTAACCTCTGCACTCCGGAGACCAATGCATCCGCCTCCAGCCACACTGGGGCATCAGCTAGGCTTCAAAATCTTGGTTTTTCCCTCAGCTGTTTTATCCAGTGGGTAAAGGGTAGTAGTAAGAATGTTGGACACCCACTTTTGAGGTGCTGGGCATCAAGCCCAGGGTAAGCAGTGCTCTAGCCTCTTGAGTTATGCCCCCAGCTTGGGGTTGTGGGGGTTAACAGTCTCACAGAGCCCAGGCTGGCTTTAAACATCTAAGTAGCCAAGGATGACCTCAAACTCCAAATACTTCTGCCACCAATTCCCAAGTGCTTGGATTATAGGCAGGCACCACCACACCTGGCTTGAACCCCCTTTTCACAGCAACATTTGAAAACCAGAATGACGACGTTTCTTAGCTCAGGTAACCCTTTGGCATGGTGGTGCTGTGCTTGGGTGTAGGAGACTTCCTGCTGCTGTGGAGCTGGTATTTCACAGCGTTGCCACGCGTCATAAGTTGCTGTGGACATGGGGAGTTGAATACCAGATCGGTGCCAAGTGCTTTTCATCGGGTTGCTACAGCCAAGTTCTGGGGAGCTTATGAATCTTAACTGCAGCTGGTGAAAGTAGATCCTTGACAGCTGCGTAAACCTGACACCTCCTTGGCTGGCACACCACTACAGACCCACACACCAAAAGGATAACTGAGGACATGGTCTTAGGGACCCCTTGAGAGGAAGAACAGAGCCCAAATGAAGGGTGACCTAGGCCCCGGAGCCAGACCTCACAGCTCCAGGTGTGCCTCTTACAGGAGACATATCTGCTGCTGCTCATGGGGGGGAGTATTCAGGGGAAGGGAGAACTGAAACTTAAAAGGTGACATTTCAGCTTGAGTACACCTGTGAGCACTCCAGCGGCAATGGAGAAAATCTGTTTTCATAAAAGCAGAAGCATTTAAAATTTCCCTACATTCAAGGCCAGTATTGGTAATTGATGAGTCCAGCAGAAGATGCATGCGTAGGCATCATGCTTTGCTCCTTAAAAAGCTTCCGAGCGTGGTGGTGCATGCCTTTAATCTCAGCACTCAGGAGGCTGAGGCAGGAGGATCGAGAGCTTGAGGACAGCCTGGGCCACATAGGTAGACTCCTCATCTCACAAACTAAACCAAAATAAAAGTTCCTGTAAATTTTATTTTATTTTGTTATGTGTATGGGTATTTTGCCTACATGTATGTATATGCCTGGAGAGGTTAGAAGTAGGAATCGGATCCCCAGGAACCGGAGTTACAGACAATTGTGAACCACTGTGTGAGTGCCAGAAATCAAATCCAGGTCCTCTCAAAGAGCAGCAAATGTTCTTAACCGTTGAGCCACCTCTCCACCCCCTTGAAAGTCCTTTTTAAAAAGAAGGACAGGAGAGATGGTGCCAGCGTTAAGAGCGCTTGCTACTCTTGCAGAAGACCTGAATTCAGTTCGCAGTGTACATATTTGGCAGCTTGTAACTGCCTGTAATCTAGGGGATCTGACACAGGCACCAGGCACTCATGTGTTGCACATACATGTATTCAGGCACTCACACACACATACATAAAGTAAATCTTTAGAGAAAAGGGGTGAGGGGAACAACCCAGAAGTTCTAGATGTTTCAATGTTCAGAAACTAGTTTTGGGAACTCCTTCTCCCCGCCCCCCCCCCCTAAAGAGGCATAGAAGTGATGCAAATTGCTCTTGAGTGCCAAGTGTCCAGAAAGATACTGAAAAGGATGGTTGGCAACAAAGGAGCATTGGCAGTTGTGGGGCAAGGCTGCTTGCTCATGGCTGACAGGAGGTGCCTGGCTCCGGATGACCTTACGTTTCCTTCTGGGTCTAACCATTGTTGGCCACTCTTGCCCCAAGTGAAAATGCTCTGTCTCCATGGGACAAAATTCGAAAGTGTCAGATAGTTGTGGAAGGTCATAAATGTGAGTTATCATTTCCCACAGAACGCCTGTGGCTTCTGAGCCACAGAGTAGACATGAGGACGAGGACTGCAGTTTTCAGTATTCCATTGCATTCTAAAATACCCCCCAGTCTTTGAATTAATTAGATGCTTTCAGTAAGGTAACACCCTCAATACTGGTTAGCCAAAGCAAACAGAAACTCTATCAGAAGGACCAGGGCAGCAGGAAGGTCTTCATTTCTGTCCAACAGCCTTGACATGGTGAGGCTTACACTTCTGTGCAGCTCCTGACCTCACTCTCGTGACTCCAGGCTTCAGAATTGTAGAGATTTATCCTGGCCAGTGCTGAAGGGAGAATTATTTAATATGGAGTTGGTCGGCACCACTACCTATCATCCGGCCTTTTTCTCCAGCCACCTAGTAGAATTTTACGGGCATGACAGCCACTTCTATGACTGTAGTATTGCTCTGTGCTATGTGAAACTGCCTGAAGGCCAGGGAACTCCAGGACTTCTGGTTTGAGAAAGTTCTCCATGCTCTAACCGATGCCCGAGTGGCTCATCCAGCCTCTCTCTTGGCTTGAGTTGAGGGTTTTGGTCATGATGATTCAGTTTAGTAGAGGGGAAAAGAGGAGGAAGTGCTTGAACCTTGGTCCTTTTCACGTGATGGCAGACCTGTGAAGTATAAGTCTTTGAGTTTTACTTGGACCTTTGGTAGAACATCCCACCAGCTGCTCCTCAGGTGCAGTGGATACAGAAAGTAGCTGTGTCTTCTTGATCCTAGAAAAGATGAACAAACGGACAAGGGAAGGACAGCCTCAGAAAAAAAACAAAACAAAACAAAAAACCCCTCAGGTCCTCAAACATGACCTGAGGCTCTAGTGTGACTTTCCCTGTCCTACACCAGCAGGGCTTCTTCTCTTCCTGTCACATCTCTGCTCAAGGAAAGTAGAATGTAGCTGAGGTGTGCCCATGAAAAGATACAGACAATTGCTTGCTGCTGTCTGGTAAATATCAAGCCAGGGCCTAGGCTAAGGGAAAGAAGGTCGAATATCTGGAGAGGTCAGATCCTCAGTGAATAGTGAGGTGAGGGCTGGAGCTTGGTAAGTAGGGGACACTGATTCTATCCAGCCGCCAAGAGGACAAGGGTGAGGTATGCGTCAACTGAATGAATAACGTAGGTGTGTTGCCCTGGGGTGGAGGGAGGGGAAGCAGCTGGCACTATCTCAGGGAAGGCACAGGACCCTTGACATGAGAGTCAGTCATAAACATTTGCCTTTGTGTGAGTGGTTTATGTAGCACATAGAGGTGTGTCAGCTGAGGGAGAACCTATACTCCACTTGTTAAGCTAGGAGCTTGTGCGGCTGAAGAGGAATGCTCTGAAGGCCATGATCTGTTCCTTAGGCTGCAACTTAGATCTGGTCCCTGATGAGCCTGTGAATAAGATTCCAGAATTAGTCAGGTGTAGTGGTGCATGCCTTTAACCCCAGCACTCAGGAGACAGGCAGCCAGATAGATCTCTTTGTAAGTTTGAGGTCAACCTGGTCTACAAAGAGTTCTAGGACAGAGGACACCCAGGGTTATATAGAGAGACCTGTCTCAAAAAAAAAAAAAAAAAAACCCAACAACTCCTCAGACCTAAACATTATGCCTCTCCTGGCAGGGAGATAGACTCTCCCTGACCTGTGTGCTTCCAGGGCCTTGCACATGCGAGGCAAGGGCTTTACCACTGTACTGTACCTCCAGCCAGCAAAGTAGTGAGTAGGTAGGGTTTCTTTTCAAATTAACTTTTCATAATTTTTTAAATGTGCATGCATGCATGATGTGTTTGTGTAGGTGCACATGTCATGCCTTGTGTGGAGGGTAAAGGTCAACTTTGTGAAGCCACTCCTCCCACCTGAGATTGAACCTAGGTGACCAGGCACAACAAGTGCCCTGAGCCATCTGCCTGGTCCACTATATGGTTTGGTCCGTCTGTCTGTCTATCTGTCTGTCTATCTATATATCTATCTACTTATTTTTTAGGATCTATCTACCTATCTATCTATTTATCTATCTATCTATCTTCTATCTATCTATCTATCTATCTATCTATCTATCTATCTATCTACTTGTTTATTAGGACATGGTCTTGTGTGGCCCAAGCTGTCAGGAATTTTTTTTTTATGAGGTTATCTTGTGGTTTTTTCTTTTTAATCTTTCTGTCTCCATCTCTCAGGGCTGTAATTGTAAGTGTACACTGCTATGCGCTGTACAAGATAGACTTTTAAAAGTTCGTTTTATTATTTAGTGTGCACGTGTGTGTACATGTATGGTAGTCAGAGGACAGCCTTCGAGAGTTGGCTCTTGCCCTCCTCTGCTGCCACCACGGCACTACCTGGCTCATTCCCTGCCAGTCCTGTTTCTGAATGCCATTACCCTCCAGCTGGGAAGATACCTCTGGTGGGGAGAGCATTCCCTTACCAGTGGCAGAAGGTGGGCATGCATAGACGCATGCTCCACGCTGGGTACGTGGGCAGTCAACAGCATGGCCTTACCCATCACCAGTGTAGAGAGGAAAAGTCACCAGAGAGAAGAGACTAAGGCAGGGTTGGGGCAGCGGTGTTCAGGAAGAAAACAGTGACCTGCCATCCTATACAAGGGGCCTTTGTCCTGTAGTGATGACCACAGCAGTGACACTTCATCTGCTCTGTAAACTTGGGATCGGGGAGCTGAGAATTGCCATGAAAATCTTTACCCTGATAGCCGGGAGCCATTTAGGCAGGCAGTTGAAGTCTGGCCTTCAGTGGTGTCTGTGTCCTTGAGTACCCTGATGCCACCTTCGACATCAGGCCTTGGTAGTAATATCTCCCTTCATCTCTGACTGAACAGATGCAGGAGCTGGAGCAGAGGCTGCTGGAGGCCGAGCAGAGAGCTGAGAATGCGGAGACTCAGGTAACTGGGCATGGGGTGTGGTGGGAGAGTGCTAGGGCAAATGATCTTCCCATCACATGGGCACACTCTTCAAGAAGAACCTGCAGCTGAACACATTAGGTACAAGGAGCTTTCTGTGCCAGTGAAGGAGCCTTTGGGTAGGCTTGGTGTAGTGGATGGGTACATTAGTCCACGCTGGCTGTGCAGTCCTGTGCTGCAGGAGCAAACTGAATGTGCAGCCTGTGATTCATCGTGTTTAGTCCTCGTGCCTGGTACACTGGCAGTAGGATTGACCGTGGAACCAGCTTGCACTGTGATTGAGGAATCCAGCCCGAAAGAGGCTCCATGTCTTTTAGCCGGTCACACAGGCATGTAAGCCTATAGGGTCCACATGCATCCCAGGATAGCACAACAGATTTGTAGGTGACACTGTCATGTTACAATGTCAGTGTTTGGACACTCCCGCCTGGAACATACAGCCCTCTTGGTTACCACTGGGGAGAATTTGCTGGGGATTTGTGTACCAGGTTTCAAAACCTTGAGTCCAATACAGCTAGTTCAAGTCATTCCGGGCTACATAGAAAGATCTTGTTCAAAACAACAACACATGGACGTCCTATGAGAAGTATCTTTGTCCCAGTGGGGTAGGAGCAGATGTCCTCCCGAACCCAACTGTTCAACTCCTTCCTCACATCACCCCTCCTCCCCACCCCACAAAGATGGTGGCCCAAGATGTAGCTGGTCTTTTCAGAGTAGCCAAGGTAAGTTTCCCTTTTGTCCGTTCCTTCTTTTGCTCAGAGAAAAGCATCAGTGGTCACTTCATTAATTGGTTGAGATTGTCCTGTGTAAGAACTCTGCCTAGGAGGCATATTCTGAAGCATCAAGGGGTTAGCCCACTCCACATTGTATTAGCCATCGCACACTCTACTTGAGTGATCTGAGACCTTATGAGGACTTGTTGGTACTTTTCAGGTGGGTGTGATGGAAGAGAAGATGAAACTGTCCAATCTGAAGAATGTGGACTCCACAGGTAGTTTGCACCAAAAGTACCAAGAATTGCAGAAAGCCATGCAAAGCAAAGATGAGCTCATCAGCCAGCTGGAGGCACAGCTGGAGAAGCAGGTAGGGGCTAATAAGAGGCAGAGCCTACTTCCCTTCTCAGCATCCGTATCAGTTGGCCTCAGCATCTCAGCCCCTGTGCCTGAGCCCTGCGTGATGAGGAACCCATTTTTTCATGAGACTGTTGTTTTATGTGGCAACCCTTAGGACTTCCTCACGTTTGTTCATTAGAAGCTCAGGGGATGTAGAGGAAGCAGACCCTGAGGCATACTGATCTGGAGGTGAATGTCACCTCTGCTGCTCACTGCTCTCTGGGGAAATTGCCTGACTCACTGATTCCCATTTTTACAGCTCCATACAATAGAGGTTATGAAACATCGGGGATAATTTCCTCTAGGTATCTGTGTATATAATATCAGACACGTGGTTGGGGCTTGGTAAGGAGATCTTTTCCTGTTCTGTAGAGGCCTTGTGCCAGGCCAGCATGTGCTACTTGATACTTGGCTGTAGTGTGACTGAAACTGCATAGGACTGGATGGTGAGCCTTGGTCAGCTGGTGGGCCAAAGTTTCCCAATGAACCTGAGCAGGCAGAGAATAGAGTTGCCACTGAAAGTGGAGACTTCTCACAAGTCCATGGGAGCCTAACAGGGCCACTGTCCAGTCCTGCATGCAGCAAGTTAGCATTCTTGCTCTTAGGGACTTCATAACCCCACTGGCCCTTCTACTACTTCTGTGCCCAGACTTCCTCCCTTTCATAGCCTTATTACCACCATCATGCAGCCCAGTATGGCTTTGAACTCCTTATCATCCTGCCTCTGCCTTCCAAGTGCTGGGCACATGCCACCGTATCTTCTCCATCCTAGTTCCAACTCTCTTGTCGCTGGTTTCAACTGCCCATTTTCCCCTGGTGCCACCTCCCCTCATCCCCAATCACAAGCCCAGGGTAGAGTTGGGAGACTTGGAAGTAGGCTCTGCAAAGGTCTCAGCTGATGTAATCATTGTGGGTGAATCTTAATTGTCAGTATTCACTGAACATTCCCTTACTGGATGTGCCTTGTATGCAGTTGGATACATTGTGTCCAGGAAGATAGAATTTTATCCACTGATTTAGAGATTTTTTTTTCCCCCTTTGAGTAGTTCATAGTTGAAAGAAGTGGTCAGTGAGGCAGAATGACTTGATTTCAGGTTATAAAAAAAATTGCTTACAGTTATAATCAGGTAAAGATCAGATGAGAAAGAATGCTGTTCTTTCAGTCATGACTGATTGAAGATGAGCTGTTTCATTTCATCCCTAGTCCTCAGTTTCCATGACTATACTGAGAGGATGTCAGGAGTCCACTGGCGTTTTGTACAGGGCCAAGGAATTTAATTGGCTTTGGCTTTGCAGGCCATATAGCCAGCGTTGCAACTGCCCAGTCCTATTGTCATAGGGTGAAATCAGTATCAATGATCCGTAAATGAGTGGGTATGGCTGTGTTCCAATAAAGCTTTATTTATAAAATTATGTGTGAGACAAACAGGGGAAGGCTGAGTTTGGCCTCAGGGCCATTGTTTTACCAGCCTCGAATGAAGTCTTCACATTCCCAGTTCCTTTTCATAGACTTCAGTTGGAAGTCTGTTTCCGTTGTCTGAGAACTGTTTTTTCCTAGAAGTTTAACAAGAGTCATTTTTGCTCAGTTCTGAAGAACTGGGGGTCACCATTGACTCCATGCTTTTCAGGTGCGAAAGTAGTTCTCATCGTAAGCTGGCTGACAACTGTGCTATATGCACTGAACTCTGTCCTCTTATTTTACCCTCAGAATGGCCCAGCAAGAGAATATCTTATCTCTCCTTTAGAGGTGCAGACTCAAGGCCATAGGTTTAGTCCCTAATATTTTACAGCAAGAAAGTTTCATGTAGAATCAAGTCATATTTCATTTCATCCTGTAGTTCTTTTTAAGCCCTCCCCCCCCCCAAGTACTGACACTCAAACTTACACTCTTATGTGGTACTCCACTGTTCTGCCACTGAGCTGTAGCCTCCGTTTCCACTGTCTTTAGTTGCAAACCTTTTCTCTCTTGAGATGAAGTTTGCTTACTGTATGGTGATAGCTGTCCTAGAACTAGACCAGGCTGGCCTCAAACTCAAAGATCTGCCTGCCTCTGCCTCCCTAGTGCTGGGATTAAAGGCCTGGCTAGATGAGTATCTTTTCAATTATTATTTTGGGACTACTATGTCTGTGCTCAGTTAGCTCTCTCTTTTTTTAATTGTAAGCATAATGTATGCTATAGTAAAGAACAGAACATCTGGAAGGGTCTAAACTGCTAAGTAGCATTTCCCTCTCTCCCCGGTGCTTCACGTCCACTCCTCACTGGTCTCTTGGGTATCAAAGCTCAGCAGTGACTCTCGTTTTGTGGTCCTGCTACGTTTGTTTAAGTATCTCCTACTTGTGGACACTCGGGCTAGTTCAGGTTTTGGGTTGCTATGTTGTGTTGCTTTCTCAAATGGTATTGCTATGACCGCTTCCTATGCTCTGTTAGACCAAGGGTATGTATGTTTGAAACATGGCTTGATGTTGTCTGTATCCACAGAGGCCTTGAGTTTGTGTGAGAATTGCTCCCAATATTCTTGACATTTGCGGGTAATATCAAACTGGTCTGATAGAGGGAAATAATGTCCTATATATCTGTATAGGGTTAAGCTTCATAACCTCTTCTGGGCCCTTTTTTTGTTGTTGTTATTGACTTCCTGTTCGTATCCTTTGCATGTTTATTGTATTGTTCACGGTAACCAGCTGTCTGTATGTGTGTTGTTTTTGTTACAAATCTTTCTCCAATAGGTCTTTTGTTTTGTTTTGGAAATGGGTCTCCCTATTTGCCCAGGCTGGTCTTGAACCTGTGCTTAGCTGCTCTTCTCACCTCAGCCTGGTGCATAGATGAGTATACAGGTATACACACCCTGGCTGACCCTCCATTGATATTTTAGTTTGTTTAGCTGCTTTTCTTTGTCACACAGTAGCTTATAGAGACGGTATATGGATTTAATATTTTGTTTTTCCCTCGGTGGGTTTTTGGGGTTTGTATTATGTATAGGACAGAGCCCTTCCCACTTTCAGTTTTGTTTTTTCAGGATTTTGTTGTGTAGTCCACCTGATTGATCTTGGGATCCACCTGCCTCAGCCCCCCAAGTGCTGAGTAGTATCATGCCCAAGAAGATATTTTTAAAAGCCTTAACAGAGTCAGTTTTCTCTGCTGCGTCCGTCACTCCATCCGGTCCTTCTCCTGGCGTCCCTCCTCCCTTGCTGTTGCTGCAATTAACTAAAGGCTTTCTCCTTACAGAAGCAGACAAGAGCCGAAGAAGCCAAAATTGTTCAAGAAAAAGCTGCAAAGATCAAGGAATGGGTGACAGTAAAGTTAGCAGAGGTGAGTGGAAAGCTCAGCCGAGGTCCTGCTCAGGAGCCCGCCTCTGCTGGATCTGCTGTCTCGCCCACAATCCTGCAGAGTGAAAATTCAGACACACCCAGCTTCACTTCCCTTTTCTCCACATGTCCTTCCAGTCACTTCCTTTCCTCTTACCTTGGTCAGCGTTCCTGAAGCCTCCTTCTAGCCTAGTACTGGGTTTGAGGTTGGGGAGATGGGATTGGTATCATGAAGTTTCTGAGAATCCTGTCAGCTTCTTTTTAGGCAGTATATTACAATGCCGTTTATTCTTTCTCTTGTAAGATATTGTAAAGTGTAGGCTGGAGAAATGGCTCAGGGATTAAGAGGGTCTAAGTTGGGTTCCCCATTCCTAAATTAGGCAGCTCACAACTACTTTCACCTCCATCTCTGGGGGCTCCAACTCCCTGGCCTCCATAAGCACACACGCACACATGCACGCACGCACGCACGCACGCGCACATCAATACCAACTAAAATCAAATCTTTTTAAAAGAATGTGGTCAGGCTTGATATGGTGGCACATACCTTTAATCTGGGAAGGCAGAGCTCAGTGAGTTTGGGGCCAACTTGAACTATACAGTGAACCCTGTCCTCCCCACAAATTGTGGTAAAGTATACATAAATATTGCCATTTTAACTTTTTTTTTCAGAATGGTGCTAAGCACACATAATATAGCAGCCATACTGGGTGTCTATCACCACCACCTGTTTCTAAAGCTGCTCCTCACCCCAGATGGAAACTTTGTTCACATCAAGTACCTCTGGTCCTCTCCTGTCTCAGCCCCCTCTTCCTGTCTAACCATGCATTCTGTGGTTTGTCACTGGCTGCAGCTGTGTTTAGGAACCCAGAACTAGACACGATAGCATTACTGGCAAGCAAATGGCTTTCTAACAGACAGAGGGATGTGAGTTCTTGGAGGCAGAGATCTTAGAATAAACTAAGGATCCACAATCCCCTTCTGGCCCTTGCTTGAAAAGTGTTCAAGAAAATTGTGCTGGGCTCAATTAATTTTTTTTTAAAGATTTATTTATTGTGTATACAGTGTTCTGCATGCTTGTACACTTGCATGCCAGAAGAGGGCACCAGATCTCATCATTGATGGTTGTGAGCCACCATGTAGTGGCTGGGAATTGAACTCAGGTCCTCTGGAAGAACAGCCAGTGCCTTTAACCTCTGAGCCATCTCTCCAGCCATGGGCTTAGTTAATTTAATGGAAAATACAGTCACCACGAGGACAGAATTCACAGATAGCATTCGCAGAGAAACAAAGTGGATGTAGAGAAGAACACTCTATAACTACTTAGCTAAAGAGCAGATGTGGGTCGAACTTAATTGAAGTGTAGGAATGCACCCGGAGGAGGTAAAATGCAGAAAGCAGGGGAATCTGGTAAGCTAAGAAGAACCGTTGTCTTTTGGGGGGAGGGGACAGAGTGACTGAAGGGACAAGTCAGGAGGTGTCAGGTGCTGACAGCTGCTGTCTCAGCTTGCAAGGTGGTCAGGAGTAGCAGCTTCAGAATCGCTTAAGCACTTCACTGAAGGGAGATGCGGTTTTCTGTGTGTGCTATATTTCACAATTAAAACAAAACAAAAAACAAACAAAGAACAGTAACAGTTCCAGGCTGGCATGGACTATGTAAAGAGACCCTGCCTCTCCAAAAAAAAAAAAAAAAAAAAAAAGGGTATCCAAGTCACGGTGTATCTATGTACACACACACACACACACACACACACACACACACACATATGGGGGGAGAGAGAGAATAAATTAGAAAAGCAAGTGCAGGGGCTGCCAGATGGTACCATGTGCTATTTTCAAAGATTTGGACTTCCAGGCTTGTCTCGGATTACACATGAGCAAGCAGGGGTTGGGCACTCTAAACCTGTTTCCTTACTCCTGGGTATTAAACCCAGGCCTCGGGTGTGGCTTTACCGCTGAGTGACAAGTGGCACAGCCCCCTAACCCTTCCTTTCCTTTTTGCCCAGCTTGAGACAGAGAATGAACATCTGAAGGCCTGCAATCAGCAGCTGGTGGAGCAGGTGGAGACCCTTCAGGGCGCCCTTGAGGGTAGGCAGACCCGGTGTCTGGGTACGGCAAGGTGTAGGGCAGAGTGGGAGACTTTCTCAGCGCATATGCCTGATGTTGCCTCATCTACAGATCTCCGGATGACACCTTCCGAGAAGCTGCAGGTGGTCCCCGAGGGAACCCCAGAGGGGAATCCTGCCCCTACAGGGCCCAGAGCCCAGCCTGTGGAGCAGGACAGTAATCCCCACACTCAGGTTTTGAAGGTGGCTGTGCCTGTACCTTCTCTGGGTACCCTGCAGAACAAGGACTCTGTGTCAGGAGCCAGAAGTCTCGAGGATTTGAGCTCCAGTGTGGTCTACCCTGGGGAAACAGCAGAGGCCAAGACCCTTAAATGTCATCCTCAAAGAGAGGGCTCACCCAGCCAGCTGTTGGAGAAGCCTGGCGGTCCCAAACATGGGTCATCCTCTTACAGGGACGATCTGCTCCCTGCTCTGGGAGGGACCTTCCCTGGGACTAAAATCTCTGCCAGGGAAGGTGGCCCTGGTAGTAGCTTGACTCTGCCGAAGGTTCGGGCTCCCAGTAACCTCCGGGACAGCTTCCAAGTGGCCAAAAGGCACCACAGTCAACCCCAGGTGGGCCCTGGGCATTTTGACCATGTGGTAAACATTAAGATTGGGGCCCTGCCAGCCCTGCCCTCATCTGGCTTCTCCAAGTCTGAGTGCAGAGCTAAAGCCCGGGAAGAAGCAGAGAAGATGGAGATGGAGGGGCCATCTCCAGTGGGGAAACAGGGAGGAGGAGAGCGCCTGAAGCCCCCCAGAGCTGCACCAGAGGAAGTGGAACTGGAGAAGAAGCCACCCACACCCCCCCTGCACCGGTTTCCATCCTGGGTAAGTGACGTGGTCGGGGTTGGGCAAGGGGCAGAGCCAACCACAGGCATGGTGTTCTGAGAACATGCGGGCCCAGGAGATAAGGCTCGTCCACACAGCCTTGTGGAGGGCTGGTAGCCAGGCCTGCCTGACCCACTCACCTCGGCAGGGCAGAGCCAGAATCTGAAATGATATGTGCCACGCGCCAAGCTGGGTGCTCTGTGATTTCCTCAGTTCCTTTGATCCTGAGGCAACACACGTGGAAGTCAAGAGCTGTGTGTGCTCTATATCAAGCCGCCGGTGTTGAATTTCTACCTGTGAGCCTGGGCATGAGTTCCGTGGCCCAAGTTTCCTGTCTTTAAAAGGAGGGTGATAGTGACTAGTAGGCTTGTGTGCCGTGGCGCCCATGTGAAGGTCACAGGACGCCTTACAGGAGCCAGTTTTCTCCTTCCACCACAGATTCTGGGAATCAAGCTGTCAGGCTTGATGGCAGGTGCCTTGACCCCCTGAGCCATCTTGCTGGTCCAGCTAATGGGGTTCCTGGAAGGATTAAATGTATGTTGAGGGGATGGAGGGATTATGCAGCTGTTCCAGAGGACCCAGGTTTGAGTCCCACCCAGTACCCACATGTTCCCTGTTCACATCTGTCTGTAACTCAGTTTCAGGAAATCGAGTGCTCTCTTCTGGCCTCCTCCTGCACCAGATGCACAAGCGGTGCACAGACATACATGCAGACATACCTCCCTACCTACTAAATAATCAATTAAAACATGTAGTGAACAAACGCTTGTCGGTGATTAGTGGTCCACCGTTACTGGTATTTTTGTCTCTGAGCATCATGTCACAGAGACATGATGTCCTGAGCAGAAGTGGTGGTCCAGATAAAATACGACTGAGCATGCATTAATACAGAGTAGAAATGGGGCATGGGGACCGAGGTCATTCTTTCTGCTGTTCTCCTTCTTTGACATCTGTGACAAAGGTTAACTAATAACAAGGAGGGTGGAATATCACTGGTTCACAGGTTGGTGGTGAGGATGGCCTGGCGGCCTGGCACAGAGCCTGACATTTGGGGGTAGCCTCGTCTGTATAAGGGATTGGGTGCTATTTCTCCCTTTGATAGACAGGAACCTGCTGCCTACAGTTTGGTCACTTTCCCCGGTCATGTTGTTGGTGAGGGAACTAGCCTTCCGGTAGAGGTCTGGCCGCCTTGAAGCACAGCCCCAGCACTCTAGCTGCACTGCCCCTGGGGACATGGGCACGTGTGTCAATCTTTGAATCGAACCCAGCGCTGCAGAAGTGCAGGGACATCTGCTCCTGGCAGCAGAGACAATGGGCTGCTCTCCGGTGGGTTGGAGGCCCCTAGTTTCAGCAGCGTACTCCCAGTTCAAGGAGCTTCGCACCCGGGCTTTTGGCTGTACCCTTAATGGTCACTGCAGGGCCAGCTTGTGGGTTGCTCCAAGAGCACCTATGGGACCCCAGTCAGAAGTGTTGAGTAAGTCAAGTGTGGCCCATCGCCAGCTGCACTCCAGGGTGGCAGTGTTAAGGCTGTGTCAGACCTGACCCTGGCTTCCCTGCTCCTGCTGGCATCCAAGAACCCACATTATCAGCATGAGGAGAATTTGTCTGCAATTTTCACTTCCCTTTGTAACTTGCTCCTGAGGGAAAGAAGACATACTGCTTGCTCACCCAAGCTCCCTAACGAAGCTTAGGTGTCTCCCTCAGGCGGGGCCAGCCAGGCAATAACTTTCAGGAGCAAAGCCTGGAATCCAGAGAAGGGCATTCTTGGTCCAGGTAATTGGCTGATCAGTACACCTGCCTTTCGAGTTTGTACGGCTCTTTTTCTTTAAGTCTTTCAACATCGTGAGGGAGACCCTCGGTGCCCCTTGGCCAACAGAGCTATCTTTCATTTGACGTTCTTCCCTCAACCTTGAGCTTTGTTTCCTTATGCAGTGAGAGCCTGTCCTTGGTGTAAGTCCGTGATCAATATGAGCAGAGATCCCTATGCCCAGTTACTCCTCACATTGATGAGCTGCCCTGCCTGAGCGTAGGCACCCTGCCCCAGTCTCTGTGTCCTGCTCCTGTCTTGCTGTAACCCTGGTTACCTCAGCATATCATTCCACGTCACCCCCAGCTGTGCTGCTCTGGGGCCAGTATTCATCCCAACCCCTTCCAGCACGGCCCTTAGTTGCTTCTCTAGTCCAGCACGGCTGACTTTCCTGGTCAGCCCCTGTGACTCACCAGTCACCTGAGAGGGGATGTGTATTCACTGTAGGGCTAGCAGAGCAAACAGCTCTGGAGCAGCCTGGGAAAGGCCTTCTTGGCTGTTGGAAGCAAAACTCTCTTCCTCTTGAGTTCACTTCAGACCCAAAGGCATGCATAGTTAGTGCCAGAATTGTCTGCAGAAGTGTTTTACCTTAGGGGTCTGGAGCCCTGTTGGACTACACTGCTTTGTGATTGGCCTTGGAGGGCTGACACATGCACTCTGCTACATACGTGTGTCCTAGCCTTCAAACAGCTGAATTACAAACATCTCTATCCCTGTGGCTCTCCCTTCCTCATTGTCAACACTCCCAACCTCTGGGGTGAGACCCAGGGGTCACTAAAATAGGCAAGAATCCAAGAAATGGAGAGACATTTACTCACCCGCTCTCTTTGAACCTCCTTTGCCTCAAGGGGAAAGGAGGAGGCCAGAGGGAGTGAAAATCTGCTGGGCATGAAGTGTTTACCATATGCATTAATTAATTACTTAATTTGATTCCATTGAGTAGACTCTTAAAAAGTCAGTAGTATTTTAGAGCTGGGGAATTTGCTTAAAATTCCTCAGCCAGTGACCAGCTTGTCCTGGGTGGTGGACCCAGGTCTGCCTATCCCTCAGTCCTGTTTGCCTACACTGTCATGGAGGGGCTGAGGTGAGCAGTCCTTGACATCTTGGACTTGTTACAGGAGAGCCGGATCTATGCGATGGCCACATCAGGCATGCAGCTGTCAGATGTGTCATCCCAAAGTGATGCTGCCTGCTGCAGTGAGTACAAGAGGGGCAAGAAGGCCTAAAATGTCTTTGGTGGGCCTGGCTCCCGTTCCCTGGGGTTCAGCAGGCAGTGAGGGCTGCCTAGAACCAGAAAGGGGGTTGGTTGTATAAGTTCAGCTCATCACCTAGCACGGAAGTGTCCTAAAGTCCTGCCTTCTAGCTCACAGTGCTTGCCTCCTGCAGGCCTGAACTGGCTGGGAAGAGCCCTGAGCCCCCTGACTCAGAGGGGCCCTGCCCCTGGCTCAAGAGTCACGGACCACCCATAGCATCTGCAATGATGGGCGCACATTCATAACTGACTTGAGCAAGAGCGGGACATGGTGCAAGCTTCCCGGGGGGAATGATGGGCCCTTTATCCACGGGGATCATGATCCCCAGGAAGTCAAGGGAACAGGAAGCAGGGAGAGGAGATAGGAAGACTTTGGCCCAGTTCTCTGCCTCCCCAAGCCTCTGGCTGACTTGTACCTCCTGAGTTCATCTCTTCCCTCTTCCCCCTCAGCTTCAGGCCCTCCTGCCCTTGCATTCCCTGGAGCTTTCTCTGGCCTCATCTACAAGAATGTCACTGTGCCTGTCTACACAGCACTGAAGGGGGTAAGAAACTGCTAGGACAAGAGGGGCTGTCCCCATCAGGACACGTACCTGCACTGGGGTTGGAGGGTCAGGTGTCTTCAACAGTGACTGTGGTCTGGTAGCTCAGCCCACCATGTGTGGGTTTTTTTTTTTCTTTTTCTTTTTCTTTTTGGACGAAAACAAGTTTATTCGTTCACTGCAGAAGGCAACAAGCTAGGCAGTAACAAGAGCACTGCCCACCCATCATTTAATCTGATTTATAATTTATCATGAGAGTTTAGCATGTAACTGCAACATGATATTTTCATCTTTTTGCTACTAGTTTTTGTTTGATTTTGCAGTGCTTGAGTTAGAACCCAGGGCCTCTTTTTGATAGACTGTGCTATACCACTGAACTACACTCCCAGCCCTTATTCATTTTTAAATCCCATTAGCAGATTTTCTTAGATGAATAAAAACACAAAAGTAAAAGGAAAGCTTTCTCTCACGTTGCTTTCTCCCAGTTCCTAACCCTAACGTAGGCTACCATTAATGTGCTGGCACTTACTCCGTGAGGCCATCTGATGCAGTTGCAATGGTCTACAAATGTGCATGTGTGCTTGCACACAGGCTCTCCCTTCCCTCATCTCTCTTCCTCTGTCGCTCTCTTCCTCTCACACATGCAAGCACACACATACTCACAGAGGATCCCATACACATCAGCCCATGTCTTAGTTCCTCACCTAACCACGTGTCAGCCTGCCCTTCAGTGTCTTTCTGTGTGTTGGAGTAGACAACACTATAATTGGTTCGGGTCTTCCTCTCCTGACTTAGAGTAGCATGTATCTGTCTCTTTCTAAAGTAATGTGGCAATGGGCACCATTGTATGTACACACCCTGTGCACTTATGTTTTTGGAGAATACATTTCTCAAGATAGAATTTGTGGGCAGGGTCTGTGAATGCTTTAGATTTTGTAGGTTCTGCCAAATTACTTTCTAAAAGCACTTTGTGGGCTGTGGGCTGGAGATGCAGCTCTGTGATAGTGCACTTGCCTAGAAAGAGTGAGACTTGGTGTTCTATCTTTAGAACTACCAAAAAAGAAGAGAAAAAAAAAAAAAAAACCAGGGACGTTTAAATGCTCTGTCACAACAGTTCATTGTTTTGAGACAGGTTCTCAGTGTGTATCCCTAGCTGGCCTGAAACTTGTCATATAGAGCAGGCTGGCCTCAAACTCTTCAGCGATCTGCCTGCCTCTGCCTCCTGGGTGCTGGGATTAAAGGCCTGTGCTACCATGCTCAGCACTGGGGTCATCTTTTGGCTGTGCCCCTGCCACACTCTTACAACACTTAGAGGGTTAGTCTTGTGTTTGGAAGATGTCCTGTCCCACACTTGGCCTGTGGAATGGCTTTCTGGCCCCCTAGTGGAAGAAACAGGAGCCCTCTGGAGAGCCACAGAAGTTGGGGTAAGGGAGTTGGGGACCCGAAGAGCAGCATGGAGGTGAGACCACAAGAATGAGCTCACTACCTGGGACTACTGGCTAGTCAGCAGTGCCCCAGCTGGGTGATGGGCTCATGCTGCCCCGGACAGGCTGTGCTGTTGTGGGAGGGGCTTGTTCCGAAGCCTGAGCTGTAGTTGAGGGGGTCTGTCTTCCAGAAAGCCACACAGATCAGCAATGTGCCTTTTGTGGATGAATCCTCTGGATCTGATGATGACTGCAGCTCTCAAGCGAGTTTCCGGATGTCAGTCCCCTGCTCTGAGTATAGGAAGACCAGTGGCCTGGGCAGCCCCCGGGCCATCAAGAGAGGTACACAGAGGAGAGGGGACTCAGTCTTTTCCTGCTTCATCTCTGCCAGGGCTCCTACCAGTTTTACCCTCAGCTCTAAACCCAGGGGATCCCAGTACATAATGGAAGCATCTTCTGGCCATGGGTATTGGGAGTGGTGGTGACCCCAGCCTTCATTCCTTCCCCTGTGACCAGGAGTCTCCATGTCCTCGCTGAGTTCTGAGGGTGACTACGCCATCCCTCCTGATGCCTGCTCACTGGACAGTGACTACTCAGAGCCTGAACACAAGCTGCAGCGTACCTCATCGTACTCCACTGATGGGGTGAGCAGAATACATAGCCCTATGTGTGAATGGGGAAGGGGCACTGGGCAGGAGCGAACCTGAGCAGAGGCTGCCTGAGCCTCAGTCCCAGCAGGAAGCAGGGAGAGAGAGGAAGGGCCCGGAGATGGTAGAGAAAGGAGGCTCTAGAAGTGTTACAAAGACAGCTGTGCACAGACCCCAGGATGGAGAAAGACAAATCCAGGGAGCTCCTCAGACCCCATGAGGGTTAAACCTGTCACCTTGTTTAATCTTCAGCCTGACCTCAGATGCCACCATGAGCTAACAGTTTAGCTTTAGCAGGCCAGGTGCTGGGGCAGTGTTTGGCTTGTGTTTCATGTCTCATTTGCCTCATGGTCATTGCGGTGTTTATGGATGGGCAGCCTGGGGCTCAGAGACCTCCCTCCTCTCTCCTGCCTGTGATGCCTTGAATGGCCCTCCCCTCAACTGGTCTTGGTAAAGGAATCTGGCCTTTGCTTTAGAACAGCAGGTCATACATCAGATATCCTGCATATCAGATATTTACATTGAGATTACACATCAAACAGCAGCAAAATTATAGTTATGGAGTAGCAACGGAATCATTTTATGGTTGGAGGTCCCCACAACATGAGGAATTGTTCTAATGGATCACAGTATTAGGAAAGCTGAGAACCACTGGCCACTGTTTCCTGAAGCCTACCGTGGCTAGCTTCTCTCTTACTTGCAGCCCTGATCTACCACCTTCTCATAGTGAGTTAGGTGTTTCTTCCCTAGTTGTCATTGGGGTCCACACTTACTTCATTTTTCTTCTGGATCTCGTCAGTACAGAGCCTGGACATAAACACTCATAGGTGGGCAAATGATCTTTTCCCTAACAAACAAACAAAAACGACATAGCATAGTAGTAGTCTAGATTCTTTTGTCCTGTGTGGGGTCCAGGGATCTCATGTGGCCTCCCTTCTGTCCCCTCTGTCCCCCTGTCCCTCCTTGCCTTCCACCCCTCAGGAGCCTCATGTGACTCTCCCTTTTTGTCCCTTCTTTCCTCCTTGCTTCCACCTCAGGAGGCACTGGAGAAGTCAGGTTACCTGCTGAAAATGGGGAGCCGGGAGAAGACATGGAAAAGGCGCTGGTTTGTCCTGAGACAGGGACAGATCCTATACTACAAGTCTCCGGTGAGACCCTGCCCCGGACATGATCACGGGGACCACAGCCTGGACACACGCTGTGTAAGGGGCTGGAGGAAGGGCAGTGTGGCTTCAGGCCTTCCAGGTGGAAGATTTGGCAGCCTGACTGGCCTTGGAGGTGCTGAGCCACACAGGGGACTCTGAGGTGGTCACCTATTCTGAAAATAAGCTGGGGAGGCTATCAAGGCAGACCAAGGCCAGATGGCTGGCAATTTCCTCTTCCTTCAGAACTGATTTCTTCTTGCCTTGCAAAAGGATGTTCCCAGGCTGCCCTTACCTTTTCTGGATTGTTTACAGAAAAATCCATTGCTTCCTCTTTTTCTTTCCTCCAGTGTCTGGAATTGAGGGCCTTGAATGTTGAGAACTAGTTTGGCAGAACCAATCATGTTTTAAAGTGAACAAAAATGGATTTGTCTCTTGCGTAGCTATTTGCCTAGTCAGAGTTGTCTCTAGCTCTGTGTTAAGGATTGGGCTAAAATTCCCCCCTGAGAAACGTGGCACTATCAATTAGTAATGTCTGCAATAATGCTGGAAAGGATAAGAGTGACTTATGTGCCACTTAATTTGCTATACCTGTGGGTATAAGGATTAAATAGAAAGGTTTGGTTTTGTTTCCTCTTTGAGCTGGGTCTTGCTCTGTTGCCTAGATCAGCCTCGCCCTCCTGCCAGGCCTGCTGAGTAGCTGGGACTATAGGCACTGGGCACCACACATAGCTTTGTCAAAGGACTGTGGTGGCTTTATAGAGTGATAGAAACCTAGTAGCTTCTGATCAGATTTCTCTCCTTTCTGAGATCTCTTGAGGCCTGCGGTAGAGGGTCTCATGTTCCTAATTATGGCTTTGTTTTGCTAGAAGAAGAATCTAGAACAAGTCACTTCACTCATTGTACCATAGCCTGGGAAGCTTGGGAATCACTTTGTGCCTGTAACTTGGAATAAAAAATGATCTGAGAAGCCTCCAAATTCCAGCGTTCTCTTCCTTGCTCCTCCTTTACAGAGTGATGTCATCCGGAAACCTCAAGGTCAAGTGGATCTGAACTCTCATTGCCAAATTGTTCGAGGAGCACAGACATTTCAGGTGAGCCTTGTCGTAGCAGCTGGATTTTAGATATACAGGATGGTGTAAGGTTTAGATATGACTGTGATTGAAGCAAAGATGAGGCAAAAATAAGCATGAATGAATGATTTCATACCAGGAGTAGGACATGATTTTAGGTTGTAAGAATGAGAAAGACGAGACAGAATGAGAGGTGAAGGGAAGAAAGTCAAGGAAAAGGAGGGAGAGAATAGGTGGCAATTTGGAAGGCCCAGGAGGTCGAAGGATTTATCTTTCACTGGTTCTAATCCCCCTCTCCACCCCCACAGCTCATCTCGGAGAACAAAACCTACTACCTAACAGCAGAGTCCCCCAGCCTCCTGGAAGAGTGGATCCGCGTCCTACAGAGCCTCCTGAAGGTGCAGGTCATTGGACCTCCAGCTCTGCATCAAGGGGGCACCAAGCCTACTGTGAAGGGCTGGCTGACCAAGGTACAAGCAGAACGGGTGAAGTAATGAAGCCAGGCATGGGAGTGCCCAGAGATGGCGGGCTCTTTCTCCAAGAACTGCTTAGCCAGTTTGCCCTCAAACCTGGTCTGAGCATACAAAATGATGGTGGTGATTCTGGAAACAGACAGAGGTGTGGGCTGTTAGAATAACTGTTCTCAAGACAGAAGGGAAAGAAATGTTTTTCCTTAATCGTTTGGGAAATTTGGCACTGCCCCTGAAGTGTAACTAGCGGTGTCAGGATTAACAGTACAAAAAGCCCTGCATAAAGCCAGTGTGGCTGCATTCAAAGCCTAGTACCCCAGGTTTGCCTGAAGGCAAATGCCTTTAACTAGGGTTGTCTTGGAAGCAGAGACCCTAGTTAAGCCCAGCAAAGGGAAGTTAACTAGGAAGCACACTAACAGGGTGAGTTATTGTGGATTAGATCAGGAACAGTTATTGTGCCCAGCAAGCTTGGTGCTCAGACTCTTTCCTTCTGAGCCTCTGCCTTCCAGCAGCCCACTCTTCATCCCTGGGAGTATTCAGTTGCTGTTCCCTTCTGATTACAGTACCTTACTTAAGGCTCCAGACTGTCAGGGCCTTTATTTACCTTGCAACATCCTTACAGCTCTGGCCTATGCTAGCTAGCAGGTTCTTCCATGTCCATATTCTGATTTCCTGGATAACCTTTCAATGGCAGGTCATAGGTCTCTGAGTGGCCCAGTTGTGGCTGGCTTACCACAGGGTACGTATAGTCTCACTGTGAAAGGAGACAGGTCTCTGGCAACCTTCCTGCCACCTGTCTTGGCTAGTCCTAGATTTATTTTGGAGTCCTGGTTCTAATGAAGTCGTTTCATTTCACAGGTAAAGCATGGCCACTCCAAGCTGGTCTGGTGTGCCCTTGTTGGGAAAACCTTCTACTACTACCGTAGCCATGAGGACAAGGTATTTCATCAACCTCCTAACAGCACCTCCTCCAAACTGTGCACAGAGCATGCCACTATGGCAGTCCCCAGCTTTACCTTCTACCACACCACACCCTATGACAAATACAAAGGTCACCTGTCCCACTCCCTCGGAGCATGTGACCAGTGTCATGGCCGGTGTAGTCAGCTAGCACTTTCTGAAGCACAGTATTCTGCCTCTGGCCTGGCTGCAATGCTGCAGCCTTCATCTCCTCATCCTCCCTGCTCTCCACACCTTTGATCTCCAGCCCCACATTGCCTAAGCATTCGGCAAAGGGAGACTCCCCTGTCCACCTGTTGTCCTATTCACGGAAGGCTCGTGTCCACAGAGACCCCTGGGCTGCCTCCCTGTGCGGGGTGCTCACATAGAGGAAGTGGATCGGTCCTGTGACTCCGATGAAGACTATGAGGCTGGAGGAACTGGACGGTTACTCTCCTCCCACTGCACCTTGGTGATCCACCCCCCAGAGCACAGCCCCACCTACCTCCTCATCGGCACCAAGCATGAAAAGGTAAGGCATGAGCTGGCCCTTTGTGGCCTAGCTTGGACATGGGTTTTAATTTCCCCGCTCTGTGTTCTCCTGAGCTTTCCAAATTCAAGTTTATTTCCTCTTGGACACTGAATGGGAATGCTACTTTAAAGTACCTATTGAACTCATTCCTAGTGACCAGCATAGCATGTCTTCATCACAGGCCACAATATAGTACCATACACACTTGGAAATGTGGGTTTACACCCATCTGATCCTGTCTTTCTCTTTAGACTGGTGACCTTGACTCATGCTAGCTAAACTAGTGAAAGTTTACTCCCCCCTACCCCCAAGACAGGGACCCTCTGCCTCAGCCTCCCAGATCCTGCTATGACATCATAACAGGTACACCTCCATTCCCATCTTAAAATTGCACACTTCCTTTTTTGCAGGGGAGTGGTGGGAGTCGAACCCAGAACCTCACACGTTAGACAAGTGCTCTGTCACTGAGCTCCACCTCCTGCCCCAAATCCAACACTTGCCTCCACTCTTTCTACTTCATTAGCATCTGATTCTTTTCTGCCCTCTTCCAGGACACATGGCTTTACCACCTCACGGTGGCTGCTGGTGGCAGCAGTGCCAAGGTGGGCACTGTTTATGAGCAGCTCATTAGGAAGCTGATGGATGGTGAGGGAGACCCAGGTAAGGCAAGAGTGGCTTGGGCTGAAGGGGAGTGGCAGGGCGCTTATTGGACAAGAAGCAGAGAGCACTCCTATATCTAAGCTGTTAAACATGCCTGGGGAAACTCCCACCCCATGCCCCCGGGCCTCTGTCTGGTCAAAGCACTGAGGTTACCGCTGGATGTGAGGGAATGTGGGAAACAGACTTTCCAGGCACCTGGGTAAATGTTCTACTCTGTTTAATCTGTAGCTTTGCTAGCTATGCAGAAGACTTGGGGGTAGGGGTTAGGGTAGGGGCGAGGGAAGGCAGCTGGTTAATCTATAATTAAGAGTTTGTTAATAAATGAAGCCTCAGTTTGAACCAGACTAACCTAATCCTGGGATGTCTGGAGTTCTTATTTGACAACTAATTCTCAGGGCCCTCATGAACTACCCAGAGGTGCACACCAGGCATACTTTTCTACTACTGCTCTGAGGGCTGGTCTGTTTCAGATTGTGCATCTGCCCCTTCAGCTTGATCTGCAAGGAAGGCTATCCCTGCATGCAGACACTTGTGCTCATCAGCACTCACCACGTCATCTCCTTAGCCTGGGTGTGGCTCCTCAGCAAAGCTTTGGCTGCCTTCCTCAGCAGCCGTGTGAGGGAATGTGCTGTGTACAGTACATACCTAGACGGCCTTCAGTCTGTAGATGATCAACCCAGAAAAACCCATGTTTCCAGAGTTAAGCCACTGCCTTCCTTGCAAGTCAGGGGTGGTGGTGGGAGGGTATGCAGCAAGCTCTTTCCTCTGTGGTAACTGCTACCACTCTCTGGTCTGTGCTCTGTATGTGCAGACTCCCCGCTCTGGAGGCACCCCATGCTATGCTACAGTCGTGATGGGCTATGTAACTCCCTTACCACCCTGCCCTCTGAGGCCCTGCAGACCGAGGCTCTCAAGCTCTTCAAGGTAACATGGGAATGCAGCCCAGGCCTGTTGGCTGTTGGTGCCCACATGTCCCTGGGCTCTGCTTGGCACAGCTCGAGCCCATCACCACACAGGGGACCTGTGTGGTTATGGGATGGCCCAAGGGTTGTGGAGAGGATGAGAAAGTCCCACAGGGTCCCCTTTATGACTTCCTTTATAGCAGGTCTATAACCCTTCTGCAGGCCAGGAGGAAGCTCCTAGGGCTCTGGGAGATGCCAGCCAAAGCTCTCCCTTGAGGAGCTGCCATCCCCTTCAAGTAACAACAGAAAAGGCCCAGTTCGCACCACAGTTCGCACCACTTCTGAACATCAGAAATTCTGACCTAGTTTAGTCTTCTTTGTGCCCATCTGCATTTTCTGGGGGGAGGGGAAGAATGTGTGAGGAGAGGAGGCCAGTGTGGTGTTAAATGCCCACAATCACAGCACACAGGCGGCAAAGGCAGGGCTTGGACTTAAATGTCAGTCTGTGCTACCTTGTCTTGCAAACATGTTTTCTGCTGATGCAGGCAAGCTTATGTGTTGCTTATGTAATGAAAACGGGGCTATTCTGCTCCTAAAGGAGTCCCTTCCAGCCTCACCAGCAGGAACAGTGCTCCCTCTAGAAGGGGCTGTCTGTCCGTGAGCTTGAGCTTCCCGGTGCATGTCGCAAGAATAACCACTGAACCGCCCTGCCCATGCCCACTGTCGTCTCCTTCCAGTCCTGCCAGCTCTTCATCAACGTGCCTGTGGAGGCCGCCTCCGTGGACTACCACGTGTCCCTGGCGCAGACAGCACTGCAGGTGTGCCTTGTTCACCCTGAGCTACAGAGTGAGATCTACTGTCAGCTCATGAAGCAGACCAGCTGCCGCCCACCGCAGAAGTACTCTCTTATGCAGGTGGGCACACAGCTGTTTAAGGATGGGGGGGGGGTAGCGGGTGCCTGGGCATGGCTGCCCAGTCTGTGCCTGTCAGGATGTGATTGCTGTCCTGGGCAGGGCTGACAAGGGAGTTGAGATGCTGGTGTGGAGAGAGAATGGTGAAATGGTGAAGGTGGCGTAGCTCGGAGCTGCGAGCGCGGGGCCCCAGCACCCATCTCATGCTGCCTGTGCTCTGTGGCAGTGCTGGCAGCTCCTGGCTCTGTGCGCCCCACTCTTCCTGCCCCAGCATCACTTCCTCTGGTATGTCAAACAGCAGCTTCACCGCCACGCAGATCCCAGGTGAGAGAGCATTTCCCCTGCCACTCCTACCCTGCTGACGGCCATGCTCCAGAAGGGGGAGGGGGAGGATGGGGTTGAACTGCCTGCATCTCCCCTCAGATTAGCTTGCTTGTTGAGACTTTACCCACCACCACGAACCCATGAGCAGGTGGAGACCTGAGCATACTTTAGCTTCTTTGAACACCAATCATGTGTCCTTGGGTATTCTGGGAACATTCTCATGTGGAGCCATGCTATCCCAAATTATCCTCAAATGTTTAGTCTGTATTCTGGTTTCTGTAAGAAAATATCTATGCGGGGGTTGGGGTGTAGCTCAGTGGTAGAGCACTTACCTGGTATGTATAAGACCCTGGGTTCGATCCCTAGTACTAATTTAAAAAAAAGAAACCAAAGAAAATATCTATGGCAGCCCTGTGCTGTAGATAGGTCCTCGGGGACAAATTGCAGTGGAAGGTGCTTGCTAACAAGGTTGACAATTAGGAGCAACATGGTAGGACAGGGCCAACTTTCACAAGCTCTGGTTTCCACAACAGTGCCTGCACCTGAAATAAAAATGTAATAACATCCCATACTAGTTTTAGGTCCCTACACCCTGTCCAGTTCTTATCCTGGCTAAGTCTGGGTGTGCACCTTAGTGTGCCAAGGGGAAGGAATTCCTACCCTTCCCATCTGTTTTTAGAAGTGAAACTGGCCAGTATGCCACATACTGCCAGCGGGCAGTGGAGCGGACCCTGCAGACAGGAGAAAGGGAGGCCAGGCCATCGCGTATGGAAGTAGTCTCCATCCTGCTACGAAACCCCTTCCACCACTCCTTACCCTTCAGCATCCCTGTGCACTTTGCCAATGGGACCTATCAGGTAAGGAAGTTGCGCATGCTCCCTAACCCCAAGTCTTTCCAATCACTGTCCAGAGAACACTTCTAAGTGTGCTAAGCCTTGTAGGCTTTCAGATTAATAGGCACATCAACAAAAGAGAGGGCCTAGCTCTGAGGCGGGAGTGGCATTAGTGTAGGTATGAAGGAGAGAGCTTGAGTCCTGAAGTGCTGTACTATGGTGCCCTTTAGGTGGGTCTTCTGAGCCTGCTGCATGACCAGGGAAGCTGAAACACTGGGCCAGAAAGTAGCATGAGATAGACCCCGAATATTGACTGTAGGGAGTGCCTAGGCCTCTCTCATGTCGCAGTTTACAGTGGGGGCTCAGGTCCCTCTGCACGTGAGTGTGTGAGTGTGTGAACCAACTGGCTTTGGCCTCTTGCCCTCACCCTGTGCCCTCCCCCGTGACAGTGCTCAGGAAGTTTGTTGATTCGTGGTGCCTCTCCCTGTTTCCAGGTCGTTGGTTTTGATGGATCCTCCACAGTTGATGAGTTCCTCCAGCGGCTGAACCAGGAGACAGGCATGAGGAAGCCATCCCAGTCTGGTTTTGCCCTCTTCACAGATGATCCTTCTGGCAGAGACCTAGAGCATTGTCTTCAAGGGCGTGTGAAGGTAAACAACCCCCCCAACACACACACACACACACACACACACACACACACACACACACACACACACCTCTTAACTCAGAAATGTAGGTGGTGGTGGGGACAGAGCTCATTCGGTGTGTACCTAACTAACAGGTCAACGGTCTGTCTGGTAATGGAGACCAAGATGATCTCTCCAGGCCGGCATTCATGTGCCATCCTAAAATATATCTGTGCATTCAGGAAAAGTTACATTCGATCTTGAGTCTGGAGACAAGATCCTCATAGTTCTGTCTCCCTTAAGGGACTATGTAGCATTCAAGGGAAGAGTCTCTTGGCTCAGTGTAGGGATGAGCAGGCCTTGCCCAGCCTGCCACCAGTTATATCTGCCCACTTGGGTCAACAACTATAGAGTAGACCCCATGGGAGCCATGTTGTGCACTATCACCCAGCTTTTACTCGTCTGCCTATACTTATAGATTCAACCATGGTTTAGGGAGGTGGGTCCTCACCCCATACCTCTACAGGTGAAAGCCTTTAAAAGAGACAGCTGGACTGTACAGTGGTCTGGGGCTAGTTTCACAAGGGTATAAAGCATTTGTGGGAATGTATTTCCACACTGGATGGGTGCATTTCGCCCTGTCATCTGCTCTCTTTGCTGTTCTAGAACAAAGGGCTACTCTAAAGCAGTGCATGGAAAAATTGCCACGCTTCTTTCTAGTAAATGTGTGTAAGGCTCTGGCCATAGCAGGCATTTTACTGAAAGGAGAATGTGGTGAGTGAAAGACAAACAGAGGCACGATGCCACGGATTTTAACTGGTGCCTGCCTAGTTCCCCAAGAGGTCAGCCCTCACTCACAGAGCCAATGAGGCACAGTCCTTTCTTGGGTGCTCAGTACATCATGGTGCCACCTACCTCTTCACTGAAAGGGAACTGGTAGGCACCTCCCATCCTGGCAGCCTGGGGCCTCACAGAGCAATCTTCTTAACGACAGAACCCTCACTCGGCTCTATCACAGTCCAGCTCTGGCTGGCCCTTACTCTCCTCACAAGGGGCTTTTCCAACTATATTTTTGTCTATTTCAGATCTGTGATGCCATCTCCAAGTGGGAACAGTCGCTGAAGGAGCTGCACCCAGGAAAGTCTGAGGGTGGGACACGTGTCGTGAAGCTGATGTATAAGAACAGGTCCTGGGAGCTGCCTGACGGGGGTGGGGGGGTAGGGGGGTGTGAACATGAGGGCTGCCATGGGGCACCAGCTCATCCCCTCCCAAACTGTTCCGATAAGGCAGACAGGCCTATAGTCACCACCCTGAGTGACAGATATCAGGTCCTCCTCCCAGCAGCTCAGGGGTTCATTTGGTCAGCCTTCTCTGTACTACATTGTGGACATGAGTATACATACATGTCACAAAAGCATACCAATGTCATGGGATGGCTGTATGTCCCCTTCTGTGAGGCTAAAGATATTTAAGGCTAAAGAATAAAACTTCTCTGTATTTCAGGACACAAACAAGTACTTTCTACCAATTTAAATATGAGAAATCTATCCCAGTATATCTCCAGGCATATAATTTTCATAGTCTCTTAGAGTCTTAACTTATTCATAGTCTCTTAGAGTCTTATCCAGACCCCGAATAAGCTGTGATTCAAGGCACCAGATTACTCATGCAAAATGCAGTAAGTCTAGTAGTGTGTTCAGAACGAATCTCCTGCTCCTGCAGGTGAGACCTGCATGACCACAGCTAGGTTAGGCTTGGCTACACATTCCTTTGGTAGTAGAAAAGAGGCTTACAAATGGCATAATCAGTTATCTCCACTTTAGGGATCAACGTAAAGATCCAGAGGAAGCCCTGTCATTCTTGGCTGGGGTGCCAGCTGAGACCTGGCTTCTTACTGTCTTCCCTATAGACTATACTTTCGAAGTCAAGTCAAAGGGGAGACAGAGCGAGAGCGGCTGCTACTTGCTTTCCAAACCAGTGGAGAAATTGTGGCAGGAAGATTCCCAGTGACCAAGGAGCTAGCTCTTGAGATGGCTGCCTTGATGGCCCAGGTGAGTTTCTCTCTGGTAGAAACACCATGAGACCTTCAGGAGACTGCAGATCCTGTGGCAGCAAGGAGAGAGGGGCTCTGTGGTACAGAGAAAAGTGACGCCTTACTCACTGCAGAGGCTGTGTGTGGAATAGGACTGGGAATTGAAAAGCTGTCTCTGAGTCCCAGTCTTCTTCCAGTGTGAGCACTTGGCCAAGTTACTTCTCAGTGCTTCTGTTTTTCATGTGTACTTGGGAAACGCAATTCTCCCCTCCCTGCCTCCAGGGTATGTAAAGAGGCAGAGTATGTGACACAAAGCACATGGTAAATTTATGAACCACCCCAATGCTAAGTAGAGAACTAGAAAGAGCACAGCTTCAGAATGCTTCTCCTCTGTATTGCCTTTAGGAGGACATCTGCATGGGCTGTGTAGGATACCTTAACGGTTCCAGTAAGAGCAGATTTATCCAGATGTGGTTGCACAGGCATATAATCCCGGCATTTGGAGAACTGAGGCAGAGCTGGCATAAATTTAAGTCCAGTCTGGGTTCCAAGCCAGCCTGATCTACACAGTGGCTCTTCATAATTATAATCATCAATATGAATACTCTGTAGCAAGCCAGATGTGTTCTTCTCATCCCTACTTAGGAGAACAACATTGACACTCAGAGTTTAACTTGAACAAAGATCCAATGCTGACAAGTGGCTGGAGCTAGCTGTCCTGACACCAAGCCCTCTTCTGTCCTCTACAGTCTGTGGCACCTTCCACCTTCTAGCATTTAGCTGCAAATGGGAGCTGATCTAGATGACCTAATATTGTAGGACCCTAAGGATGCTTCTCTAATGTCTATGGAACATGGGATAAATCCTTATCATTATGTGATAAACAGCAGTAATATGGTAAGGGCTGCTTAGCCCTCAGACAGCAGCCGAATCACCCCCGGACTGTTATCTCTTTGTTCCTCAGGTGGAATACGGGGACTTGGAGAAGCCTATCCTGCCAGGTCCTGGGGGTACACCTCCTGCCAAAGCTCAGCATCTCCTCCAGCAGGTCCTCGACAGGTTCTACCCAAGGCGCTATCGAAATGGAGCCCCCCCTGAACAGCTGAGGTAGGCTGGGAGGCAAGGTCTTAAGAGGAAACCTGTGGGACCCTCAGGGCTGTGATGAAAACAGGTGGGCATTTCACTGGTACCGTCTCTTTCCATCCACACAAACCAGGCACCTGGCAGACATGATGGCCACCAAGTGGGCAGCACTACAAGGCTGCTCTCCTTCTGAGTGCATCCGCATCTACCTGACTGTGGCTCGGAAATGGCCTCTCTTTGGTGCTAAGCTCTTTGCTGCTCAGGTGAGTGACAGGAAAAGGAATTACCCAAACCCCCAGAATGCTATTTCTCCTGGAGCTCCGCCCTCTTCTCTGCTCATATGTCCTTCAGTCCAGTCTGTAGCCCTCACCTCCTCACCATCAAACCCTAGGAGTTGCTATCTCCCTACCCATTTCTGGCTGATTCTGAGTTCCATGGTCCACAGTGGAGTTATAATTCATTGTTTATCTTCATGCTTCCTTTATTGACTTGTCAGTGCTTCTCCTGCACAGACAAGCTCAACTGATTCACACGTGAAGATTCAGACTTTAAAGGTTTGGAAGACAAAACAGCGTATAACCTAAACAACTCCTCTCTACTGGCCACCCAAAGGCCCAGAAGTAGACAGAGATGGACCACCCAGGGGAATCAGCCTACTCAGACAACAATTACTTTCACCTCTGCACTAAGGCCAGGAGGCAAACAGTAATTTCGGTTGGAAGTTTTCCTCAGTAGGTATCTAGTATGCATGAACTTTACAGATAATCACAGACATTACCCTGTGACCAGACATTATAATCAGGCATTGAGACTGGATCAAGGTCCTGATCGTTACAGCTGCAAATCAGAAAATGGACATTGCTCATCTATCTATCATACACAGACAGGTTGTTGAATACATAGTATTTCTAGTTCTAGCTGTTTAAAGTTTAAAAAATGAAGGAGATGGCTCAGCAGTTAAGAGCACTGCCTGTTTTTCCAAAGGACCTGGGTTTGATTCCCAGTCTACACAGGGTGGCTCACAACTGCCTATAATTCCAGTCTCAGGGGATCCGACATCTTCTGGCCTCCTTGGATTCAGGCACACATATGAGACACAGACATACATACAGGCAAAACAACCATACACATTAAATATAAACTTTCAAGAAACTTTAGAGAAATGAACAAATCAGTCCCTTGCCTTCAGGAGACTTTCCAACTAGTGGGAACAGAATAATCGGGGAGTTGTACATTATTGTTCATAACCCTTCCTAAGCAACCTTAATCTGATTAATTTTGGGGATATGCTGGGAACCAAACCAGGACCTTGCACTTGCTAAGAATACTTCTGCTATACTTCCCTAAGCTATACCTCCAACCTGTGTGTGTGTGTGTGCACAAATGCCGTGCAGTACAAGTACAGTGGTATTATAATAGAATGCCACTGGCCTGAAAGGTTGGAAAAAGCTTAAAAAACAAAACAAACAAAAACAACAAAAAAGGATATCTGTCTTCTTCCGCTAGGCCTTTGCATAGAGAGCAACCTGGAGTATTTCACTATAGCCCTGAAAAAAACACCCAGGAAATGGACACCAAGTAGTCCCAAACTCACTGAAAGGACCCTAAAATCCATCCCATTCAACTCTTGTCTTCCTACTTCTTTTATAGTCCCAAGGAAATTGGTTAAAGCAAGATGTACTTTGCTTGTGAGAGACTGAGGTGTAGGAAAAAATATCCACCAACTGGGCTACACCCCAGCCCCCAGGTTGACTGTACCCCACTGCTCAGAGCTTGCCACCCAGTGTCTTCCAGGTGTGATTCCCTCCCTTTTGGGGGGGCGTTAGGTGGCAGAACCCCAAGGCCAAATGCCTCGTGCCACAGCATTCCCTATGTTATATAAATGCTATTTTCTGTTTTCCACAAGATATGGTTACTCATCACTCTCTGAGCATATCTTCTTCCTCGGAAAGTACTTAGGTTCAGTATCTCTCAGGGTGGGTCTGACTGCCTTTTGTTTCTGCAGCCTGCCCAGTTGTCTTCCAAGGAGAACACTCTGGTGTGGATCGCTGTGAATGAAGATGGTGTCAGCATCCTGGACCACCACACCATGGTATGAGAGGAAATGGCTGGTTCCAACCCTTCTGAAACACTAGTCTTCCCTGCCGTGGACTTAAGACGCTTCAACCAAGTGGCATGGTCCCCTCTTTCTAACCTCTGCTCCAGCAGTGTTGTCCTATAGTCTAGATGCAACTTATAGACATCAGGATTTAACTCCCCCAAATTATGGCCACCTTGGGGCTCTCCCTGGTAAAGGCTCCCTGTGTCTGAGACAGGGTGGAGTTTTCCCTGAACTCAGTTGCCTTCTTTCCACAGCAAGTGCACATCACTTATCCCTACTCGTCAGTGACGACATTTGGTGGCTGCAGGGATGACTTCATGCTTGTGATTAGATCCACTCCAGACCAGAGCTCTGGGAAAACCCATATTGACAAGTTGATCTTCAGAATGCCTGCTCCCAAGGTGGGTCTGACAGCTACTATAACAATTCACTATGGCTTGGTGTAATGTGGTAAGCTTGGTGCTTAGAGAGAAAACTTTGGACAGGTTCTGCCCCAAGTACAATTGTTGGCCTTGGTATGTCATCAGCATCCCACAGGGTTCAGTTGGAGTAGTATGTCCATCTCGATACTGAGCTGGTACTCGGTGGAAATTACCTGGTTCAGCTATGGAGGTTGCTGTTCCTCCATTTTTCAGGAAGAAACTGTGCATCTCAGAGGTTCTCTAGGCCAACAGAGGTACATTTTACTGGGTCTCTAAATATCACAGTAGTCTCTTTGGGACTTTTCTCCCGAGTGAGCAGTTTAAGAAAGCAGCTAAAGCCCAGGAGGACTATGTGTACCCAATATTATAGCCAGTGAGAAAATCAGCATTCAAGGCAAGGCTATTCAATCTCTTCACTTCTCTGAACTTCTCAGATCACAGAAACTACCTTTATGATGGCCAGCTACATGAACCACTGTTCTGCAACTGTGAACCTATCTACCAAGCTGCCTGCAGCCCGCCAGCCCCGAGACCTGGATGGACAGTTCTTTGCTTCTGCGTCCTACACTAAGGGGCCGGCTTTGCTGTGAACGTTTCTCTCCTCCATATCCCTGCCACTACTGGTGCCTCTAGGGTTAGATTTATATCCTGGAGCGTACTACTACTGTGATGGGCCTAACGGCCCCTCCCAAAACTGTTCTGTGAAATGTGTATTTCAGGGTCTCTGAAACTTTTTTGTGCTCTTTAGGTGCCTTATCTTTCAAGGCCCAACATTTTAAAATCTGGACCCAACATCAAAACCACTTACTATTTCCTTTACAAGAATAGTGACTGTGGATGCTACCTGATTCTAGACTGAGACAGGGATGGCCCATTGTTACCAGGGCAGTGGTACTGTACTGTATTTGGGGCTTCTGCACTGATGCTCAGGGAAGCTTATCTTTTTATACTGTACGTGGTCCTTATGTGGGGGCTTGTTATACTTGAAGTTTTCTGAGCATCCCTGAACGTAGGACTAAAATTCCTAATTCACCTAAACTCTGGCAAATGCCTACAAATCTGAAACTGGACGACTTTCCCAAATGGAAATAATGACAGAACTGGAGAAAACACGACAAGCTTTCCCACTGCTGGTGAGGAGGCATTTGCTATGCCTATTGGGGCTACAGCTCTATTCTATTCCTGTTAAGATTCAAGCTTTTTCTCTCACACTGGACTAGGACAGGCAGGGATAGACCAGTCTGCACCCTCCCTGTGCCATTTTAAGGCCCAACAGGGCTTAGTGAAGGCTGTGCTCACTACTGAAGGACGAGGTAGTCATTATCTCCCCACCCTCTGAAAGACCAAGCATGTGAGTTGTGCTTGTTGCTGCTCTACGAGTCCAGGGGACAACACATCAGGAACACTAAAGACTCCTCCATTCCTGGAAGGCCTGGGTTGCTGACCAACACTTCTGGTAGATTATCTTCTGGATGATATCTGCCCTAGTAATATGTGGAAATAGAAGGTTTCTTCAGCTTTTGCCTTCCTGAGAACATTATAATCCCTCTCAACTCAGACTTTCTAATTGATTTTGATGAAGTTCTTTATCTCCACCTCTCCGCTAAGTAATAAAACCCACAAGTTCTTACTTTGATTTTCCAACATGTTAAAAAACAAACAAACAAACAAAAAAAACTTAAGTTTATTGTGTAGCTCTAAGGCAGTTCTTTTAGTAACATGGACGAGGGGATAGGAGCAGCACCCAGAAAGTAAGCCTTTAATCCAACAATATGTATGCCACATACTACAAAAAAACTGCAAAGCCAAAATTAGTTTGTTCAAATGCCTCAGCTGCTGTAATCTTTTTTTTTTTTTTTTTTTTTTCCTCATCCTTTGACCTGACAAACAGGACTTTAAAAGGCACAAGTGTCTGCCTTCTGAACAAGTTTGACTTGCAAGGCCGGCAGCCATTTCTGTTCCAATCCCAACTCCTGCCCCAGTACTGGGATTCTAGTGGACACAGGTCTACCTCAAGTCACATCACTATAGTGTCCTGACAACTCCTTCAAGGCTAGTGTGAAAGGTAGAGAATGCAGTTGCAGTGGGCCACATCCTAAGTGGTTCTTAAAGCCAAAAAGGATATGGTCCACTTTCTGGTTGTTTTTGTTTTGTAAATAGAGCTCCAAAGAATGGAACTGTTTGTACTAGACTTGGAGGTCAGATTAGCTGCCTCCTTTTCTCTTGAAATTTTCTCCTTTCCTCTCCTTCCTCTGGAAGACAGGGTCTCACTATGTAGTCCTGGCTGTCCTGGAACTCACTGTGTAGACCAGGCTAGCCAAAAACTCAGAGATCCACCTTCCTCCTGAGTGCTGGGATTAAAGGCAAGCACCACCTAGTCCAGCTCCTTTTCTCCAGGAATCTAAGAAACTGCCTTAGAAACAACAGCTTCTGTAAATTGGCTGCTTCATCCTTTAATATGACAGTCCCATGTCTGGGGACCAACACAAAAATTTCTCTTTTCATCTAAGCCCTCTTGGCCAAAGCAGCTTTTGAAACAATAGAAAATACCAAGTAACAGAAAGGTACTAATGTGCTTGACACCCATGGCTGAAATGCTATGTATGCCTGTCAATAATAAAAGCTGTCAGTGAACCGGGCAACTATGGTGTGTTTTGGATATTTATTTATTATAGTTTGAGACAGTGCCTCACCTGTTGACACCCTCTATGTGCTGGGACTACAGGCATCCACACCATTCCTAGCTAAACTGTGGATTAAGAAACATCCTGCACAGATCATAGGAGCTGGGTGGACCAGAGGCTAGCCCTTTGTAAGGCATTTTATTCCTAATTCATACATAAAAAAAAAAACAAAAAACATTTTCCCTAACTTTTAGACAAGAGTTCAATACAGATGGAAATTATATTTTTATATTTTTCTTATAAAATTTGGTACCAGACTCAATACTCCACAGATTTTAATACAAACACTTAGAAATATCAAAGTGCTCTTCATGCATATTAGCCCTGGATAGCCTCAAACTCAAGATCACCTGCTTCTGCCTCTTAAGTCCTGGTATTAAATGTGAGCCACTATGACTGGCCTACTTTTTTTTTTAATAATTTATTTATTTTTATTTTACATGCATTGGTGTTTTGCCTGCATGTTTATCTGTGGAGGGGTGTTGGATTTCCTGGAAGTGGAATCACAGACAGTTGTAAGCTGCCATGTGGGTGCTGGGGATTGAACCCAGGTCTTCTCTAAGAGTAGCCAGTGCTCTTAACCACTGAGCCATCTCTCCAGCCCGACTGGCCTACTTTTGATATGACAAAATCTTTACAGTCTCCCCTTGATTAGTAATGTAAATAAACCTGTAAGGGGGACTTTATGATACATCAAGACTCTGAGTCACATTCCAGCCGCCTCCTCTATGGCTCTGAGATCATCTCATCCATTTTGGATCCCAGGACTGTGTCCACCTAATGGTTTTTACAGTGTACAAGATAAACCAGCCATTATGGTCTAGGAGTCCTCTCCCATAAAGACAACAATGCTTTGAATGCTGAGGTTCAGGGGCTTGTTGATGTTGCTTTCTGGTGTGCCAGAATCTCCTGGCAGCTCCTGTATACTTCAATCAAGCAGTCCAACCGGGGCTTGGCACTCTGAATTCCAAAGGGAGAAATGCAGAGTCAAGGAGAACAGAAGAAGAATCCACCTGCAACCTCAATCTCTCACATATGTCATGGCACAACTATGAGCTAAGAGACAAGGTCAAACCTCTAAACTCTCCAAATCTGGCCTTTGTGAGAAATAAGACAGCTTTTTTTGTTTTAAGACAAGCCCTCTGTGTGTATGCTGGCTGTCCTGGAGCTTACTATGTAGACCCTGGTGACCTCAAAAGACCTGCCTGCCACTGCCTCCTGCTGGGATTACAGGCATGCAAAATATAGTTTTTGGCTTGACAAAATTTTATGACAGTGAGACAGACCATCTCAGAAATTGTTACAAGTTGTGAAATACACCTCAGAGACAAGATGGACAGCTTAATAAGTACATTCTGAAAAGATATTGTATTATGAAATATAAAGTGTAATACAACTAAAATTAAAAGTCACAGAATAGGAAAATTATATGTAGAAAATCTATTTAATAAATGTTAACTATTCAAAATAACACAAAATTATTACAAATATGTAACTGATTTCTAAGTTCAACTCAGCTAGTAGAGGAAACAGGATTTAAAACAAGAGGATTACAGGCTTATGCCACCAGTGGTTTCTTATTGTAAGATCTAGTCAATCTAGTAATCTAGTCAATATTTAAAACCCAGCAATAAAAAACAAACAAACCCTAGCAATAAAATAGTTAAATAAATACTTCAATATAATGGAACATAATCTTTAAATATACTGGCTGTGGTAGAAAAGGCATTATATAGACAGAGTGAGAGCGAGAGAGATAAATACATAAAGTATCTCAGTGGTAAACTGAAAGATTTGAAGTAGAAGAATGTGATTTGTAAGCAGAAGTGGTTATATGACTGGTAATTGTCTTCTCTAAAGTTTTGGTGAATTATTACTATTTTAAAGTGTACCTTTATCAGAGAGGGGATCCTGAGATCTTAAAAAGATCCTTTTATTCATCTCCAATACTCTGAAAACAGACATTCATGTCTGCCTGGACAAAAGAGGCAAGGGGATGCAGACAGAGAAAAGACAGGCTTTCACAGCAGAAAGGAAGAACACTGCTCACCTGGAAGACAGGAACTACTTGGGAGATCTCATGTGGCTTTCCTGGGTCCTTCAATAAGATGCAGAGATAGTAAATCACCTTTTGCTGTAAGAAAAGGCACCAGACAGGTCTCAGAGAAATACATCTTGTTTTTTTTTTTTTTTCCTTCAGGGGAAGATTAAAATCCTTTTCACAAATTATCTCTAAGTAGAAAAATATTTGATAACTTTTGAAGTAGAAGAAAAGTTTGTTTTCCTCCTTTATTTTTATTTGATATATAAAAAATATCTTTTTGCTTTGTTCCTGAGTCAGGGTCTTACTATGTATCCCTGGATAGCCTGGAACTTGCACATAGCAAGTTAGCCTGGTTCACAGCAATCCACTTGCCTCTACCTCCCAGATTCTAAGATGAAAGGCACAGCCACCATGCCTAACAACAAAAAAGTCACCAAACTGTAATGTACTCACAAATAGAAACATCATAGCTAGATTAAGGTAGCCACCCAAGTCTCAAACTCTGTATGATCAGAATGTCCACTCTGAAGCCACAGAGCTTTGCTTAAGGCTATACTTATACTTTTATGCCACATATCCACAAGACAAGAAAAAAATAAACAGAGTTGAAACTGGAATAATATATCTTCTGTCACATTTCATGTGTCCCTTTGACTACATTCTGTCCTTTAAAAGACATCCCCCATCGGAAAAAGAAAGGAAGGAAGGAAGAAAAGAAAGGAAGGAAGAAAGCAAGCAAGCCAAGTATGTTAGTATGAACTGGGAGTCCTATCAACCAGGAGACCAAGGCAGGTGGCTGCTTGAATTTAAGTATTAGAGGCCAACCTGAGCAACACAGTGAGACCTCCTTCCCAGAGAAAGCAAACAATCAAACAAACAAAAATGCTTTTGCATCTGAGCTAAAGATAAAGTTGAGATGCTGACTCTCTTCTTACACAACAACATATTACCTCCACAACAGTCAATTTATGCATTTGCTATGCTTTTTATTAGAGTACTCCTATTTATAAAAAAAAGGAAAATAGTTTGTTAGCCAGGCATGGTGACACACATCTTTAATCCCAGCACTCAGGAGGCAGTGTCACACTTGGCAGCAACTGTAAGCATCTTGTTTATTACATCTTGACTCATCAATGGGATGTCTGAGTGAGTAAACTATACCATTGTGGAAATGTGTTCTGTGATGTCTGTACAACCAGCAAACTGGTAAAGGATGCATTCCTTAGAATATACCCCATCACTGAGGAAAACATGACTTAATTTAAGTTTCTCTTTTATGGTTCTCAGGTATACTAGCCAAAACCAAACTACTTGTATTGGAACGGAGGCTCCTTAAGTTTAATTCTGTGGCAATGAATGCTTTAAAACTCAGTTTAGATCCTAGCACACCCTATGGGCTGACTGCCTCCTCTAGAGAGCCCAGAGATACCACCTAAACACTTACCATGTAAATAGCCTCATTAATGATAACATCCTTGACCTTGTCCATCTCTATAAAGGTGGTACTTTCTTTGCCTGAAGCATAGGACGAAGTCATCTGGATGCCAAGTGAGTCGATGATTAATAGAGTCTCTTGATCAATCTTAACAAAATGAAGGTAACCAAGCAGGCCTATGATGGTGATGAAGATAGCAGCAGAAAGGATCATGCTGTTCTGAGGAGAGAGCCAGGCAGTAAGATCACCAAATGCTCCTATGCATATATCTATGTTACATGGTGAGTTAAATGGACACGGAGGGAGTAGGCTTTGCTAAGGTCACTATGCTGTGAAGTGAATAGATGGGGGAACATGCATGAAGGTGAATCACTTTCTCTTGAGCTCCTAAAGTGTTTGAACAGCATGCAGAGTGAAAAGGATCCAGACTACTAATGTTTCTGGGAAGCTCCCAGAAAAACATCTGCCATCACATTTATCTCAGATAATTTTCTTCTCAACATTTCAACCCAGTGCTCCCCTTCTCATATTCCCCTGCAGAGTTTATAGCACAAAATCACAGACAGAACAGCTATGAAGTACTTAGCACAGTACCTGATACTATTCCTTAAGTGATAAATAGCCACTTAAATTTTCCTAACAGAATTTGGAATAAATTTTGGTTTAGAAGTGGACGTGTTGCAATCCTAGCCAATGAGATGTGGTAGTCAGAGGTCTATAGACAAGGCCAATTTATTATTATATTTTTCAAAAGATGTGTAGAAAGAATGGAGAAAGGAAAGCGGGGAAGGGGCATTAAGATGGCATCATCCAGGAATAGTCTATAAAGCAGGATTTAATTGGTGCAGAGATGTATTAGAGGTTTGTGGTTTCTGGTGGATACACTCTCCCACAAAGACAGTTTCTTTCATTTGCTTCTCACACTCTTTGCTCCTCTGATTCTTCAGAAGGAAAATGTAATCACTGAATGTCTTAGGGTTTCTACTGTTGTGATAGAACACGACCAAAAGCAACTTGGGGAAGAAAGGGCTTATTTCCGTACATAGTTCCACAACACAATCCATCACTAGCACTCAAGGAAGTCGAGCAGGAATTCACAGGGGCAGGAACCCGGAGGCAGGAGCTGATGCAGAGGCCATGGAGGAATGCTGCTTACTGGCTTGCTCCCCATGGCTTGCTCAGCCTGCTTACTTACAGAACCCAGAACCACCCAGCCAAGGTTGGCACCACCCTCTCTGAGATGGGCCCACCCACACCAATCACCAATCAAGAAAATGTACCCCAGGCTTTCAATGGCCAACCTGGTGGAGGCATTTTCTCAATTGGAGTTTCTCTCCCAAAATGACTCCAGTTTGTGTTGTTGATATAAAAAGCTAACCAGCACACCTATAATCAAAAAAATTGAGTAACTTTGGACCACATTTACAAAGCCAAGAAATGTCTTGCTCTTCATACTGACTAGTCCCCTTTACTCTAGTCAGATTTTTCTAAGTATTCTATGACCGCAGTGCCTGTCTTTAATGGACTTGCCCAGTCGTTCAGGAATTGTGCTAAGTCAGCTTAAGAGAGGTCATCACATGCACAGTATCAGATCACAATGTCCTTTGAGGGCAAACCCCAATGACAAAATACCCCACACAGGCCCCATCTCTTACAGTTTCCACATTTTGTATTGTTGCCTTTTCTGTTTTTTTTTTTTTTTTAAACACATGAGCCTTAGGAGGACATATCAAATCTAAATTGTAGCATCTGCCTTCTGTAATAATCCTAACTAGACATGCATAGCAGTGCACACTTTTAATACCAGTACTAGGGAGGCAGAGGCAGAATGATCTCCCTGAGTGGCAGGCTAGCCAAAGCAATATAATGAGACCTTGTCTCAAAACAAAAGACAAAACAAAACCCAGCCAGGCATGGTGGTACACTCCTTTGGTCCTAGCATTCAGGAAACTGAGGCAGGTGGATCTCTGAGTTTGAAGCCAGCCTTGTCTAGAGTGAGTTCCAGGCCAGCAAAGCCTACACAGTGAGACCCTGTCTCTAACAAACAACAACAACAAAGAACTAAAAACAAGCTGGAGAGAGAGCTCATCTGTTCTTTCAGAGGACCTGGGTTCAATTTCTAGCACCCACATGGTCGCTCACAACTGTCTATAATCCCAGTTCCAGGGGATCTGACACCCTCTTCTGACTTCCTTGGGCACCAGGCACATATGTAGTGCAGACAAACATACAGGCAAAACATCCATATAAAATAAAATTTAAGTAATAAAAAGGACAAAAAGAATATGGGATAGAGGCCTACAAAGCTTATAATAGTAAAATGGCCTTTAAAAAAAATGTTTGCTGACTTCTATTCAGATAATTATTTTTGGTTGAGAAACAGCAGAAGACCCAGAAACACCAAGTTTCAGGTAATTAACTTCCAGGTGTAGGGCAATGTCTTGTAAACAGTCCAAACCGAATAAGCATTATGGAAGAAAGGCTAGCTAAAACTCAGATGCAATACTGATTTACTGACTATAAGTGTCAAAGGAAGGGAGTGGAAAGGAAGAAAGGAGAGAGAAGGAAGGGCATAAAAGGATGAAGAGGGAAACAGAGAGAGAGAGATCAAAGTACACAGGACTGTTCCATGAAGACTTCCAAGTCACATGACCTCATTGGTGCAGAGAAGGCAGTGCGTGCTGATGGTTGGAATAATGTTCACAGAACTGTGAATTCAAAAGCAGGGAGAATGACAGGGTGAAGTAAATGCTTAGAGAATTTCACCCACTTAGCTTTCAGTTAAGATAATCTGCCTCAAAGTCCATTTTTCTGGCTAAAATTCTAACAATGCACTATTCATTTGAGTCAGGGTTTTAAGCCACATATTTGAATGTCTCCTTTCAGAGTTCTTTTCACTGCAGATACTCATTACCTTTGTGAATAATTTGAATAGGAGCAAAGATCTGAAATTCTGGCCCACAGAGCCCCTGGGAAGTGTCAGAGTATAGGGGGTATGCATTACTTCTGCACTTAGGGAGCATTAGGGTAAATGTGCAAGAGAGAGATGAGTACCATAATTGGCAGAACCAATTTTGAGCTGGGTGTGGTATATACACCTGTAATTCCAGCACTTGATGGGGGCTGAGACTGGAGGATGGGAGTTTGAGGACAGCCCAGGCTACATAACAAGGCCCTGTATCCCAAAACAAACCAACAAATATCAAACGTAACTGCCTGAGATCTGTTAGGCTAAAGCACAATGGAAAGGGATTTCAAAGTCAAGCTGCCCAGGTTTTGATGCCAAGACCTTTCCCAACACCAAGACTATTACATTACTATTCTTTCTGAACCTTTGTCTGCTTCTAAGGCTGAAGTTAGAAATTCAGCAAAATAGCTAGCACTCTGGGCATTTAATATGTTCCTCCTTTCAGATAATTGCACAGGTATGTGGAACATAGGCTAGCGTTAAAGATCAATTGGGCACAGTGATGCATCCCGTTAATACCAGCATTTGGGAGGCAAAGGCAGGTGAATGTCTTTGACAAGGCCAGTCTGGTCTACATAATGAATTCAAACAAGTCAGGGCTACATGATAGGACACTAATGCCCCTCTGCTGTGGAATAATCCTTCTGTACACTGTGAAAATGTGTTGCTCTCATTGTTAATAAAAAGCTGGCAGGATTTTCAGGAAAGAGAGAATGCTGGGAAGAAGGACATAGTCGGAAGAAGCGACATGGGAAGTTCACAGATGAGGTAAATGAGCTTGGGGCAGCACACAGATTAACAGAAATGAGTTTATTTAAATTGTAAGAGCTGGCTGGAGCCAAGCCTAAGCTACCAGCTAAACATGTATAATTAACTTTCCATGTGGTTATTTGGGAGCAACTGCCAGGACACAGAGAAACTCTGCCTACACCCCTCCAAAAAAGAATAAAATTTCAACTATATTATAAATTTGGGAGGGGGGTTAGGTCAATTTAGTAACTTCAACTGACCTGTTAAGAAACTTTCAGATGCAAATTGGTACAAACTGGGGTCTTTAAAAGGTACTATTTATATGTTTTGTTTTGTTTGAGATAGGGTCTCACTATGTAGCCCTGGTTGTTCTGGAGGTGAGGATATACACTGATATAGACCAGGCTGGCCTCGAACTTAGAGATGTTCCTGCATCTGCTTTACTAGTGTTGGGATTAAAGGCCTGCTCCATCATATCCAGCATAGGATTTATTGTGTGGTGGTCAGAGAACAACTTTTGGGAATTGTTCTTTCCTTCGTGTGGGTTTTGGGGATTCAACTAAGGTCATCAGGTAAGCAGCAGCTTACCTTACCTGCTGAGCCATCCCCCAGGCCCTAAATTAGTGGCCTTAATTTCATCTATTTCTATGTAAGTTATTTTGCTCTGCCATATGCTTTGATAACACAAAACCTAACAGGCCAGGTATGACGCAGCACATCCTTGATCTCAAAGGAAAACAGAGAGACAGGCTCTACATAGCTTGGCCTATAATTCATATATACACTGAGACCCTGAAAAAATAGTAAGAAAAAATCGAATAGATGTTCTAATACAAGCAATATGCAAATTACAGAAATATACAGTTCTGGTGTTCTTAGCTCTTTTAAGATCACTCTCGGAATAATATATTCATTTCAGGGCACTATACAGGGAACAGAACTCATCCCAAGCCAAGGCCAGCTGGATGACCCTTTTTACTTGAGAACTGTCACAAACTCACAGCATTCGACCTTCACAATATTATGAACCATTCATTCCACCGTAGATATGTGAAAAAGTAGGCTCTGAAAGAAAAAAACACTAGAGAGTCTGGAAACTGAGCATAAAAAAAAAAAAATGCTCTAAATCTGGCAATTCTTTAGAAAGTGCACTTAAATTGGTGAAGGGTTGGGAGAGGGGGAGGTAGTTGACATGAAACGCAGAGATAAGGAAGCAGCAGAGCACTCCTTCTGCACGCGCAGCTGCGTGGGCAAAAGCACTTTTCTGGAATTCTGTGGTGGGCTGGCTATTACGGACGGCGAGGGGTGATGGGGAGGTAGGCTCTGGGGGTGAGCAGGGCCGCCGCCGAGGGAGCACGAACTGCTTGAGAACAGTCCAGCCACGCGTGGGGCGGCGTCCGGAGACCCAGCGAGTCCCTACCCTGCGGCCGGGTCCCGCGGGTCAGCCCCGAGGCCTTCAGAAGCCGGCAGCCTGCGAGGCTCGTGAGCCGGCCTTTACCTCGCACAGGGTGAAGAGTCCGTAAGCCGCCAGCCACACGGCGCAGGTGACGGCGGTGAGCGAGCGCAGCGACAGCCGAGGCGAGCTGAGGCCGAACTCACGGCAGTAGGGCGAGTAGTAGCGGCGCCGCAGGGCCAGGCGGCCGCCGCAGATATCGGAGAAGCTCTCTTCTTCCTCCATGGCCCAGTGCGCCAGGCGCTCGCGCCGCTCTAGCCCACCGGGAGGACCGAAGTCTCGCTGGCTCCCGACCGGCCTGGAAGCGGCTCGGCCCCGCCCACCACACGCTCCGCGCAGCCGTATTGCACAGGGGGGGGGGGGGGGGGGGATGCAGGCCGGCGCTAGAGGATTGAAGCTGGTTCTCCCAGTTTGCCCATAGCTCAGACTGCCCCTGTTTGTGGCACCAGTTTTGGGCAGATTAAGATCTCTGTTCACTGGACTGACTCATTTATATGGCTACACCAGAATGAGCCCCAAGAAGTGGTCCACAGGTGTATTCATTCACGAGTTCATTTCCTTGCGAAGGCATTTTAGGTAATGAAGATCCCTGTCCCCATGTAGCTTCTTTCCTAGTAGGAAAAACAGATGTGGACGTAGCTTAAAATAGTAGTATTGGCAGAAAAAAAAAAAAAATCAGACCAGTAGAGGAGGACTGGGAAATCTTAAGTAAAGCTCCCATCACTAAACCTACAAGGATGAGGACCACACTGGTCTGGGGGATGTTTTGGGGAGAAAAATCTCCGGGGGCGGGGGGAGGACCAGGAAAAGCAAAGCTCTGAGGCTGGAACAGGGTTAAATCACAGGGATCAAAATACTAGAGAGGCTAGTAAGCACGGATAAACAAAATTAGGAACATGGGTAGGCCAATGACTCGGGTTTGAGTTGGACAGATGGCTTAAGCTGTTGAAAGAGTATGTTAATCACAGACACAAATCATCATGGCCACATTAACTAAAGCAAGCGATTAATTAAAGCAAGCTTTTTTATTCACATACACCGGCTGCCTCCCACTAAGACAGGGTTCAAGGGTCAGCGTTGGATTTGAGGAAGACAAAGCTTTTCTAGCTCAGGTTTCCAAATAGGGGATGTTGGCAGACAAAATAATAGAAGAATATAAGCATAACAAGTTAGTCCCTCTTGGAAGAAAGGCAAGGTTACAAGGTGGGCATATGAAGGTAGTCATAACTAAGTAGTCATAGGTGGTCATATAACCTTTTGAACAAAGGTTGGGTTGTCAGACAGCTATAAACAACTTTTTCAAACAGACATGATTGCTGTTCCTGGAACAGGCAGGTACAGGACCATTTGTAGTTAAGGTTACATGTGGGGCATGGCCCAATATTTGAAAAACAGGTTTAATCATGAACAGGAAGGAACCTAGTTTGTCTTTACTGTAAGATGAGTTTTAAGCCTAAGATGGTGGCAGTCTGGGGAAAAACAGCCGGGGGAACCACTACTAGGCAGTCTGCCACACTTTCCAAAGTCTTGGATTTTAGAACCAGGCAATACATTTGCATGGATGGACCACTACTGTGGCAGTACATGGACATAATCTTACTTCTGATGATGGGTAATTATTTATACTGATTTTTTTTGAGAACTTGAGTCACTGTAAATATGAATAATGAAGAAACAAAGGTAACCAAATAATTCAACTGACTTTTCATTCTGAGGCTTAGACTGGGTTTTAAAAATCTTTTTCTGGAGCCTTTGTTTAGTAGTTCTAAGAATACTGTGTTATGAGCCATCCAGATGGCTCCAAGGCTGATGCCTTGGCTTTCCTTCGTGAATCCACGTCATGGAAGGAAAGAACCAGCTCTCACAAGTTGCCCTGCGATTGCCACATGCTCACTAGCTATGGCAGGCGTGCACTCACACATAAACAAATAAGCAAATACTTTTTAAGAATGCTGTCGTATAGTGTAGCTTGTATTCTATTTGATTTTGGCCGGGGGTATTTCAAAACAAGTTTCACTCTATAGCCCAAGCTGGCCTCCAACTTGTGACCCTTGAGCCCCAGCCTTCTGGGAAGTGCTGGGGTATGTTCTAGTTCACGTGAGAAAGTGACAGGCTGCCACGCATATAAGGCCAAATTCCAGTCCTTATTGGCCAGTTACTGTGAACAGGCCAGAGCCTCAGGAACACTCTGGGCCCCAAAGCTTAGGGGTATAGCATTTTTAAAGGCAAAACCCATAGTGACATCATTATCAGGTGTAGGTCAGAGAACCTTGTGACAATTGTTTGGGCGACACAGTCAGCAGATGTTTTGGTTGTGCACTTGAACCGTGGCCAGGGTCGTGGAAGGTCCTGAATTTGTCACCAAGGCAGGCATGACTATTCATGGGTTCAGGGGCCAAAAAACACCTGAGCAGACATAAAACGGAGTCAGAGTAAGATCGGGACAAGTGACATTTCCTGAGTCTCTTCAGTTAAAGGCATAAGCTACTAGCCTGACTTCTGTTTAACTGTTTTGTGTCTTTTACGACATATGGAAATGTCTTAGTTACTTTTCTATTGCAGTGACAAAAACACTATGACCTAGACAACTTACACAAGAATACATTTAATTGGGCCTCACCATGCCAGAATGTTGAGTCCATGCAGGCGGGTGGGCACTGGAGCCTTAGCTGGGCTGGCTGGTGGGCACTGGAGCGTTAGCTGAGAGGTCACACCTGTCCACAAGCACAAAGTGATGGGAGCACCAACTGGAGTAGTGTGGGCTTCTGAAGCTACAAAGCCAGTCCACAGTGACACGCCTTCTTTAACAAAGACACATGCCTTCCAATCCTTTCCAAATAGTCCTACTTCCTAGAGACCAAGTATTCCAATATAAGAGTCCATGGGGTCCATTCTCATTCATCCCATCACAGGAAAAAAGTAACATCTAGGACTAGGAGTGGTTCCCACTACTCCACGGGGATGGAAGTTGCTGCCCCCTAGTGGCAAGTTGAGGCAAGTCCTTAGACCTGGTGAAGATAAAGTTTGGGCACTTTTCCTACGGTGTTTGGCAACAGTCATAGTGTGAAGTTTTCTGTCTTCCTCCTTCGGCAGGGGGAAGCAGGCTTTCCTGCTTTCCTCCATGCATGTGTGTGTACCTACATTGCTCTCTTCTTCTGCATCTGGGCTGAGGTACGCAAGGAAAAGGCAAAATCAGGGAGTGAAGCACTGGGTTACTCCTCAGGCCCAGGATCCCTAGCTGGTCTTCTGGAGTGAAAGGGTGTAATGTCTTTTCAATTACCTATCACAAAGCTCATGGCCAACAGGCCTATAACCAAAGGTGGGTAATAAGCAAAACTATAACTATATTATTATTATTATTATTACTGGTTTGAGACAGGGTTTTATTGTGTAGTCCTGGCTGTCCTAGAGTTCACTCTGTAACCAGACTGGCCTCAAACTCACAGAGATCTGCCTGCCTCTGCCTCCTGAGTGCTGGGATCAAAGGTGTGTGCCACCATACCTAGCCAGGCTATTGTGATTTGAACTGTGCTAGTACACACCATTTTGTAAATACAAATGAACAATTTGGGAATTTTAGCTATTTCTACAGACTTTATAATTCATTTAAAATAGCCACATATCAATTACTAATGTGGTTTATCCAATAAAGGTGCTTGCCACAAGTCTGTCAACCTAATTTCAATACCCAGAATTCACATGGTGGAGGGAGAAAACTGTTGACTTCTGATCTCCATTTTTATGTCATGTACCCCTCCCCTTTATTTAGGGGCCTAAGGGATGGCTCAGCAGTTAAGAGTGTTCCCTGCTCTTTCAAAGGACCAGTTTCCAGCATTCATGCTGTATCAGGCAGTCATAACCGGCTGCAACTCCAGCTCCTCTTTTGGCCTCTGCAGGCACCCATACAAGGCAAAAGATAAAAATAACAGTAAGCTCTAGAGTAGCGATAAACAAGAGACCAACTCCAGTGAGTCAACTTGTGAGTTCAAGGCCAGCTAGAGCTACCTAGTGAGAGTGCCCAAAATAACCCCAAAACAAAAACAACACTATTTGACCTGAACAAGGGGGAGCTCATGGACCCCAGACTGATAGTTAGAAAATCATCATAGGACCGACCCAGACCCCCAAATGTGGTTCTCAGTTAGAAGGCCTGGGCAGTCTACGGAACCTCTGACAGTGTAACCAGGATGTATCCCTAATGCATGAATGGACTTTGGGAGCCCATTCCCCATGGAGGGATACTCCCTAGCTTAGAGACACAACGGAGAGCCTAGGCTCTATCCCAAATGACTTGACAGATTTTGATGATCCCTCATGGAAAGCCTCACCTTCCCTGAGGAGTGAATGGGGGAGGGTCTGTGGGGAGCATGGGGTGATGGGAGGGGGAGGGAACTTGGATCAATAGGTAAAATAAGAAAAAAATTAAATAAAAAACACTACTAAAACAAAACAGTAACCTTTTTTTTTTTTTTTAAATTATTGTTCTATTATTTTCCCACTCAATGAGAAAGTCTATGTAAGAAAAAACTGTCGGAGCCTGGAACACACCTTTAATCCTAGCACTTGGAGGCAGAGACAAGTAGATCTCTGTGATTTCAAGGTCATCTTGATCTACACAGGCACAGGACAGCTGAGGCTGCACAGAGACCCCCTTAAAACAAATCAGAACAGTGATGTCAGAGAGAAGGCTCATCCTAAACAAAAACATGAGGACCAGAATTCAGATCCACAGCCTCCTGGGCGGGCATGATGGCCCATCTGTAATTCCAGAACACCAGAGATCCCTAGAATGAGCTAACTACCTAGACTACTCAAGTTTGGGAGCCGGGGTCCAAGTGAAAGACCCTTTGCCAATATGTTAGGTGAACAGGAATTGAGAAAAACACCTGGCATTAACATGGGGAGTCTACACACTCATGCATGCACACACACTTGCATATACATACATGAGTATACATATGCACATATACCACACACTTGGTGTCCTGGAAGGCCAGGGGTAAGAAACAAAGTGTAGCAAGCAGAATTCTTTCTCATGGAGTCACAGCGCCATCTTGTGGTCTTCCACAATAGCGACACAATTTAGTTCTTGGCTTTTGTGTGGAAGGGGTCTCTCTCCTCCTGACGTCAGGATGTCTTGTGTCCTTGTAACCTCAAGTGCTGGGTCTACTTTTGGTGTGTTTGGTTGGTTGGTTTTGTGACACTGAAAATTGAACTTGGGGCTTTCCTTGTACAAGTGATCTATCGAGTGACATCTTCACTTTTATTAACCAAACTTACAGGAAAAACGTTTTTAAAAAGATGAAC